CACATACACTAGTCTAAAGTTTGGACACATTATTATTTAGCCCTGAGCGCCAGAGGCTGGCAAAGGGCCTATTAGTATCACAAAGCAACACTCCTAATGGGTGGGAAGTGAAATAACACGATGTGTCTCGCTCGTAATGACCAGGACCCTTGCCATGACATAGGAATGCGCCAGAGTTTTCTGAAAATGTATAGTTTGTTGGCATACAATATTTTTTTTTATCTTATTTATCTTTCTTTATTTTCCCTAACTCACCCATTTTTCACCCAGTGAGCAATGACGAAAACTTACAAAACTTTGCCATCTGTTAAAACCCGCGCTTCTCTGACTTTTGGTTATTAAATTTTTCAGAAAATAAATAAAATGACACATCAGCCCCCAAATATGGCAAAAATGCATGCACGTACAATAATGAAATGTGACATGTAGATCATGACAGGACCAGGAAAAAATATTACACCATTGCCTTCCGCTGCACCAGGGGTCAGTTTGCTAAGCATGAGTCAGCATTTGTTTTGTAATTTTCATACTTTTACGAACTCCTCGTAGGGCGTTCACCCAAACGGGCTCAAAGTTTAGGAGTAAGTAAGGGTTAAGGGCTAGGTTAGGACAACAGCCACAGTTAGGATTAGGGTTGGGGCTATGGCTACGGTTAGGATTGGGGTTACAAGCTTAGGGTTATGGTTAGGGTTGCGGCTAGGGTTAGGGTTGTGGTTAGGAGCATTAAAGGGGTGCAGCATGTGTGGGTTGTGGCGTGGCATTGCACAGGTTCCATCATTGCCGCTTGCAGCTATATTTTTTATTTACTTTTTACTTCTTCCTACATTTTGATACATAATATATCAAGCAAGATATGTGGAATTCTAAAGCAAAGAAAAAGTTAAATAAAGCAATGGGTGGCTGAGGATTTGAATATAAAACATAAAAAACTAAGAGTTGCTACATAATTCCATGTTTTCATATATACATATGTTTTGCTTCTACATGTTTCTAATCTGTAGGAAGAAAAAAACACGTTTAATGAGATGGTGTGTCTAATCTTTTGTTTATATTTAGATGTTACATCAATAACGCTAAACAATAGTCCTCTTCGTAATATATGGATAAACCCTTAAATTTCAAACAGCTACTGTTTTCTAGATAAGTTGCCATTCATTTGCTAATGTTTGCTAGTGTTGCTAATCAGAAAGGTTGGGTGCAATCATGAGACCAGTGTAAACTGTGCTGGCCCTTCACTTGCTTTGGGTTCAAAACTTCTCCTGTTTTGTCAGCACGGAAAAATGTTCTAGTGAGCTAATTAGCGCACAGGATATGGCTACATATTTTGACATTATGTGAAGCTCCCTAAACAGATTAATTTTGTGCAACTGTTTTCACCAGCTGAACCACTGCTGCAAAAACCTGGCAAGACAATGAGGTTTAATTATTTATTTTGGTGAGCACGCCACTCACCAAACCGGTCCTGGCCTGTTGACTCTCAAATTGGAAGATGGTATTTGTATCTTACAATAACTACTTATTAGCATTGCGTTGGGAGTACAGTTTAGGTCAAGGTATACTCCCTAATATCTATTTTCTGACTCCTGCCTTTGACCCATTTTTAAATGCTGTTGGGGTAACCTGTCTGGAGCAGTAGACCCAGATCTTGAAGTAGGTTTGATCAGGTCTACTATAGCTGAAGAATTGGCCTATTGTGCATATTTTGGGCTGAAATCACAATATACACAAGAATAACTTGCAAATTCCAAAAAGACTTTGGACAAAAATGGATGCGATGTCACTTCTATTCATTTACTCATGTTTTTGGACAGTTTTAGAATCTCTGAGTGGGTATCAATTTCCTCCTTATCTGCATTGTCCCTGCGTTGCTCTCTAACTGTCTGACAGAGCAGTTTTTGGCGGGGCAGGTGGGGGTTAAATCTTGTTGGACGATAATTAAGATTGTCGTGCCGAAGTGCTCGGGCTAGTTCCTCTGGTGAGTAAAGGTCAGTGTGCGCGCCTCTGTGGCTGTCCCAGTGGAGCAGGACTGTGTGAGCAGATGTGGCTGATACAGGAAGGGGAAGAGGGGGAGTAGGGAGGGAGAGAGGGAGAGAGGGAGAGAGAAAGAGTGGAAAGGAGAGAGGAGATGCAGAGGAGGAGAGAGGAGGAGAGAGGAAGAGAGGGGAGACTTCGAAGGGGGAGAGGAGAGGGGAGACGGAGAGAGAACATGGGAGACAGAGAGAGGAGAGGACGCTGCGAATTGGGAGAAAAGAGGGGAGAAGAAGTGAGAGAGCAAAGGAGACTGTGAAAGGGGAGAGGAGACGGGTGACAGAGAGGAGGAGAGAGGAGAGAAGACTGCAAAAGGGGAGAGGAGTGGGGAGACGGAGAGAGGAGAGGAGAGACAGACAGACAGAGAGAGGAGGAGAGAGGAGAGGACAATGCGAAAGGAAGAGAGGAGGGAAGAAGAAGAAGAGAGAGGAGAGAAAACTGCAAAAGGGGAGAGAGGAGACAGACAGACAAAGAGAGAGAGAGAGAGAGGACACTGTGAAGGGGGAGAGAAGAGGTGAGAAGAAGAGAGAGGAGACTGCGAAAGGGGAGAGGAGAGGGGAGGAGACTGCAAAGGAGGAGAGGAGAGGTTAGAAAAGAGATAGGTGGGAAGAAGAGGAGAGAAGGGGGAGAGAGGACGACCTTTAGCGATGACTGGACCCTCTCCAGACACCTCTCCAGTCGAGGTAGAACACACTGAGATTGTAAATGACACATAAGTGGAGGATGTGAATAAAACTGTACTGTGAAATTATTACAAAGCATTTCTTGTCAACTATGGGGGAAGTACTGACACACAGGTTCTTAAGAAACCTCTGCTACTGTTAGTACATCTACTCCCTACTTTTATTCCTAGTAGAAGAAGCATTGTTACTCCCTACTACCACTACTGAACAATCTTTGGTACTTTGAACTAGGACTGTTTAAGCAATCAAACTTCAGTTTCAATTATGATTATTATCACTGTAATGTAATAATAAATAGTAATGTAATAATGTAATAAAAACTGTGTAATCATTTCATTGATATTATTAACATGAACCCTTACGTGCATTCAATGGGCAGATTCGAGCGATTGTACCTCTCTACTTGTAGATTATGCTCACAACAGTCTATTTCAAGATACGTCACCTGCTTTCATTTTATCTGTTTGTTCTCTTTTCTTTTAGTCCCAATCATGCCTCACCTCCCAAAGCAAATAATTGTTGGAATAATTGTGATTTCAATTATGATTTGAAGACTTTCTGACTGATTTTCTTCCTCTTTTTTTCTAAATTGAGTAGCAGTAATTTGAACTTCCTGTTACTTCCACTAATCTTAGCCTTAGAATAAAGAGCTAGAATAAAGTATTTTCTCCAAAAAATAAACAAATAACAAATTAATATGTATACTGTTACTTGCTTGTATTAAAACATGTATAGTTACTTTCCTTTTTTGGGTGTAAGGGAGAATCTACTACACACTCTCCAGTAGAGACAGCAGTCTGCTATTAGGACAAGCCAAAGCATGCAGCCATAGCAGTCATTATATTTCCATAGTGAAACAGGTAAACTCCAGACATCAACAGTGCGGCTCTGAGACATCATCTGTGAGCGATGACAGGAGCAGGAGACGTGTGAACACTAACAACCATGGAACCATATCTATATCACGGTTTCTCAATCAGTGGGATAAGTACAACCTGGGGTGGAGTAGGAATGCACCGATCCGATACTGGTATCTGATATCGGCTTCCAAATATCCGTTCAGACTATATCCTGGTTGGACATATACTTTGATGTGATAAGACTGCTCATAATTGGTCCTGAAAGTTTGAGCTTTTTAACAGCCTCAAAACATTTGGATCAGTTCAGTCTTATTTTATTTTTCTTTTAAGGAAATAAATGCTGTTTTCAGTTTCAGTGCTGGTATCTGTTAACATAAGTTACCTGCAGATACTTAAAGCTGTAGTATCGGAATGAAAAATGAAAAAGCTGGACCAGTGCATCCATATTATGCAGGCTTCTTCTGATGATACAGGAACGCATCTGCAGTTCTAGTGTTTTGTCTAAGCGTTTAAGAGTCAACCCACATTTAGCTCTCCTTTGGGTTAGTTATGGTTGGTTGGCATTGGTTTAGTCCCAGTTTTGGCCTGTTTTAGACTTGGTTTAGGTTTGATGGTACTCAGAAGACCAAATATTTTCTCAGGTAGTACTTATAGTGTGAATAGATTGGATATTGGCTATACGAATAGATTAGGATATTACTAATTTCACATTCACGGCAATATATTTCATTGCATTTAAAAGGTCCTGCCAAAAACTGGAGAAAGCAAATTTGTATATATTAGGGATGTAACAATAACCGAAATTGTGATATCGCATCGTCAAAGTTCTCAATAATATCGTGAACCATCACAATATTCCGTATTACAAGTCTCTTTGCTTAAATTAAGAGTTATGGTACAGCAAAAGCTTTAAACTACATAGACCATGATCCTTTGCTGCATTTCAGTGTAGACTACAAGAAGAAATAACAGTTCAAAGCACAAGCAAGTCTTATGTCTTTGGATTAAGTCTTGTCAAGGCATTTTAAGAGGAAAAAGTAGCATAATAAATTTTGTTAGCCTCCACAAAATATGACAATAAATATTGTACAGTGAGATCCTGAAACTGTATCCTGAAAATATCATACCGAGAGATTTCGATATTGTTGCATCCCTAATCGTGAGCTTTCCCACAATATCGCAATAAATCATCCCATGAGGTTCATACTGTGACGATATCGTATCGTGGAACTTGGGTATCATTACACCCCTAGTATATAGAAACTGTTTATGTATTCTTTTTCTTTTTTTTTTTTAATAATACCCTCGCAATCAACGTATTTAAGTATATAAGTCTTCATTATGATTTTATATTGCTTCATATTTTCAAAAATTTCAATACAGAGAATGCAAACTGAAGCAGATCTGTATTTCCCTGTTTGTGCTGTAGGTGACGCTGTACAACACCGACCAGGAGGGCAGTGACAGTCCCAGGAGCAGCCTTAACAACAGCCTCTCAGACCAGAGCCTGGCCTCAGTCAACCTCAACAGTGTGAGCAGTGTGCACAGCTATACACCGGTAAGATCCAGCACGCTCCAGACACGCCGATTTCAACAGGCCTTTAGTTTGTCATTAATATTTAGCTGTTTTTGTTTGCAGATTGGTGTTTAAGTAATTATAAACCTTGCTATATTTATCTTGACAAGATACTACAACTAAAACTATGTACTTCTGCAACTATTAAAAATGTTTAGCGATGCACATCTTCAGATAATAAAAATATCAGGGCACAGGCTCTCATAACTGTTTTTATTCGGCTACAACATACACATAAGTGCTAACAAGTTTGATGCATAAAGCCTTCTCCAGAGCATTTGAGGAAGCTATGTGTTGTTGTCGTTGTTGAATTTAGCACTCAAGACATGAAGTTGTGCAAACTTCACCTCTAGTTACTTCTGCAATTACTATTACTTCTAATAATTCTACTACTACTTTTTGCAGTTTTGTAAGTTGTTGCTTTTTTCTTTTACTTGAAACTATTTATACAACAATATTCAAAACAATATATGTGAGGTCCATAGTTGCTGGGTGTTAATCTTTTGTCTCAGAGTTGAATCTTTGTCTCAATTTAAAGTGTAAATATTATCTTTTTTTTTTTTTCTTAAACCTAATGGCACTGATTAAATATGTTTTTAAAGATTGAGCCCCATTCTCAAATGAACAAAGATAGCAGTGGCAAAACATAAGAATATAAATCTGGTTTTAATTTGTGTTGTAAAAAATAAATAAATAAATAAATTGTTAAATGCACAAATGGTTAGAATACATAAATGCTCTTCTGTGACTGAGTTCTTGTGTAAGATTTCTGCAGTCACCTTTGCAGCTCCTCAAAACAAAGCATGGACAGTGCGATGAGTGTAATTATAAGAGTGAAAGAATGCTCTCTGATTAAAAAGACAGTGACACCTGCAAAATGAACAAGCACCAATTAAACAGTGTCCGCACATGTAATTTCCTCTGTGCCCTTTATCAAACACACGCTAGCACACACACTGTTAAAGCTACAGCACGCAAAATCTGCTCTCATGTTTAACTCTCTGCTTTGTCTGCTACTACTACTGTTTCTACTACTATTACTACTAATACGTTTGACAACAGCTGATGAGAGTCTTGTTTCTTGTTGCAGCAAATAAATGTGACTATTTTCCATTTCCTATTTATTCCTATCCTAATTATTGCACTATTTTGTTATGTTATAATGTTGTTTCCTCATCACAAACATATCCAGAGTTGTGTTTCGTTTCATTCACATGTTTTACGTACAGACTCTGCATATTTAGGTTCAGTTCTTCTCTCAAACTAAAAACACTCTGTTCCACCTTGTGATGTCAAGTGGTAATACAGGAAGTCACTGTGTTTTTAAAGGGCCCATCTCATGCAAAATAACTCTTTTCACATTGTATCTTCTGCACATATACAAGCACAATTTGGGTTTTGGAACATCCATTACACAATAGTTAGGAAATCTTACTGATTTCTTGGAGACAGTCACAGACCAGGAACTATGAAAGACCAGCTATTGCTCATCCCCCCGCCCATCCTGAGTTGCACAGGCTCCGCTCTCCAAATGTGACATAGGCTCTGAGTGAGCCGCCCTTCCTCCGCCCATCTCAGGGAGGGAGGGGCAGACACCCTGATAGAGGTAGGAATTAAATTTTATGGCGATACAGCACGTTCAGCCGCATGTGTTGGACCCAGAATCAGATGAGGACTTGGAGGAGCATGAAGCGCAAGCACCGCGTCGGCATCAGCTGAACATTACTGATTGGTAAAATATTAATAAACGCTAGTAGATAAACATTATATCGCGTACACTGGAGTGTATAACAATACACTGAGAGGGGTGGGTGGGTGGGGGGTGGGTGTGAAGCGCTTTCTGCTACGTCAAACACATCATAGGTGTAGTTGGCCGCGTCATCGTTGTAGCAGGCATTAATTTGTTGGCACGTGGAAGAGTAGCAGAAACAGCAATTTGTTAAAAAAAAACGCTGAATCCATCTAAAAACCACTTCAGCGACATATACAAGGCCCACACATCTCTCTTAGATGGTAGAAAGCTCTGAAAAGTTGATTTTGCATGAGATGGGCCCCTTAGACTCCATAAGCATTTGGATGATTTCAGCCCTGGAATTGTCAATCTCTACCAGAGCTCAAAATTATCTGATCTATCTTGTGATGTCATGAAGTGGTAGTTTTCAGCTACCTTTTAGTTTAGTAGACAAGCCTATAATAAAGGATTACTCAAACATGTGTGAATGAAACGAAACACAACTCCAGGTATGTTTTTGATGAAAAGCTCAATTTTGCGTTATATTGCCCCTTTAATGATCTCTCATAGAAACAACTAGCAATATGAGAAGACCAAATTGAACTTTTATTTTACTACTCCAATTTACTTTACTACTAAGCTGCAGATATTGTCTTTGTAAGTGAATGAAACATGAACTGGACTCTCGCAAAACCCACTACTTCATCCCTTATCTCACTGTATCTCCAATCCCCCGGTGGTTTCTGAAGCAAGCCAGCCGCAGACAGCCGCAGACAGCCGTGGATAGACGCGCAGAGAAGGGTGAGGGCGGGCCAACATCACGGGACGGGGTTAAGGGCTACAGAGGAAGATGTACGCACTTCTGGAAGCTAGACAAAGAGAAGCTATGTCTCTTATGTCCTCCCACCAGATCTGCCCCTGCTTTGGTGTGGTCCTCTGCTCCAGGCGCTAGCATCGATCGGCTGGATACGCTCTCCTCTCCTCTCTCTCCAAAGCTTTCTATAAACACACACTCACTACGGCAGTCTGGGAGTTGAGCACTTCTCGCCCAGCATCATTGAAAAAGGAAGATGTTACGAGCTGAGAAAAGAAAGGAAAAATTGGACGTGACCGAAGTTGTAATGTCGGGGCAAGTTTGGCTTTGAATGGTTTTGCTGGAGGGGTGTAGGAGCTGGTACCACACGGAGAGGGCGAGGGCGTAACTTAGGCCACCCACTCACACACACAGATGAAAGGGCTGCTCATTTGTACAAAGCTCAAGTTATTGATTTTGTTTTAAATACATTTTGACTGGTCACTGGGGTATAGGCGCTGTGTCTGTTTAAGTGGCTCATTAAAAGCAGCACTATGTAAGATTTTTGGTGGAGGGTCTGCCTGGGATATTTCAGTCGCCACCTGATTGTCTCCATAGACTAGGGGTGTCAAACTCAAATTCACAGAGGGCCAAATTTAAAAACTCGGGGCCAAACTAAATATTTATTGTAAAATTTCAACAGCATCTGCATGTTTTCTCTTCATCTTAAACCTTTTCTTATTAAAATAAATGTTTAATAGTTTTGCTTAAATATTGAATCCAGAACAAGCATCATATAAAATAATATTTTAAATAATGTCTCTACAGCCTATCTGTAGCCTGCGGGCAGCTTTAATACATATTTGATATGATTTCGCGGGCCAAATATAATTATATCACAGGCCGAATTTGGCCCCCGGGCCTGAGTTTGACATGTCTGCCATAGACAATCTGCCTTACATTTATTCAATTACAGGTGATTTTATAGCTCAAAAATACTTAGAAAAACAGGCATTCTCACTAGGGATGGGCATAATTAATCGATTAATCGATAATTGATCATTAAGAATTTCATCGATTACGTTAATTTTAATCGACAAACCAAATGTAGGTTGCTGTGCGTAGTGTGACCAAACAGGTCCGTACATGTGTCTCTCTGCATCAGAAGGAGCGGGCAAACACAAACAGTGGGTTAGTCTGCAGCGTGCCGAAGCACAAATGCGTATTTAACGATGATTTGTACAAGAAATTCCACGCTTTCTGTTGCGTTCGGGACAAGTGTGAGTCTATGTGGACAGTGTATAAAGCAGGAACATATGTTTCGGTGTCCAGTGGGAAAAAGTTTTACCAGGTGAGAGTCGCGCAATGTCGATGACGAGTCCCCACCTCCCACCTCCCGTACGGTGTCCTGGTTTTGACAAACGCAAATATGGTCACAATAACCTGTATTCCACTGAGTCATGTCTTTTAATCCGACAGAAACTGACCGCATCAGCGCACAAGAGCTGTAGTTTTATCTTCGCTGAGTTTATGCAAATTAGCGATGCGGTTTTAAGTTTCGTTTCTGTGAGAGTTGCGCAAAACCTGAATTAAACACATTATAATGTCAAACGGATTGATGTGGCTCTAGAGTCGTTACGGTTTATATGTCGTAAAGTTGAATTTATTTATGCAGATTAGTAGTGCAGATAGTAATAATAATGATGATCATTTTAATATAAAAACGTTAATGATTAATCGATAATCGATCGTTAATTCTTCCGAAGATCGATTAAGAAAATTTCATCGAATGCCCATCCCTAATTCTGACTGAGCGGGGTTTTCCCTCCACAGAGCTGACCTGTAACTTGGTCTGGTTTGGTCTCTGTGATGATAAAATGATAAAAAGTTTTAATATCATACTGTGAAACATTCCAGACAAAGCAATAACATCTCCATGGAGGAACGCATTTGACGAACCCTCCACCTGAAAAGTTACACAATGCACCTTTAAAGCTATTAAAAGTGCACTCACTATAAAGTATTACAGATAATCTCAAATTGAACATTCTGTTTGATTTTCTTAATATTGAGCAGCCCTAATTGTATTTTACATATAAAATCTTGGTGAATATATTTTCTTTGTAACTGAACCCTCTCCCCTCTCCCCTCAGGTGAGCAGTCACCCAGAGCCCGTGTCCCAGCCCCTGTGTCCCAGCCTGCAGCAGCCCCCTCAGTCCCAGTACAACATGCCCGAGAGAGACAAGCAGCTCCTCTTCTCCGACTTCGAAGATCTCAGTGCCTCCTTCCGCAGCCTATACAAGTCTGTCTTTGAGCAGTCCTTCAGCCAACAAGGTGAGCGCCCTCTGGAGACACACCAGAGAGCTACTCCGATTAGCTCAGCATCTTAGACTATTCGATGCTTTCAGCCCACTGTTATATGCAACATTTTGAGGACTTATTGCCATTGAAAATATATTTTTTTTTATTAATAATTGTAAATCGCTATGGCAATGGTCCTAATTTCTCATCATTCTGAAACCCATGGATACAGTTGTAAGGCACTAATTGGGTTCAGTAAGAAATCAACAGGCATAGCAGTAGTTAATTGGACTATCCTTTGCTTTCAGAGTGAGGAAAAATTAGGACTGTTGCCATAGAAATTAACAGTTCAAAATATAATGGTCAAAACAAAATCTATCTTTGGAAAGTCCCAAAAATGGTGTGTGTAACAGAAAAAAGTGAAGAAAAATGTGACTGAATTCTGTATGGATTTTGTATTTTTCTGTCTGATCAGAATACAGGAAAAACATGTACAATTAGTGTACCATTTGAAGCCAAAACTATCCTGGTAAAATATAGAAAGAAAACATTCATTAAGTAAATATATTATTCATATTCACTATTACTTCTCACTATTAACACTATTTGGCACTATTTTCCTCATCTTATGGAAATCCCTATTACATTGTGCCATTATGAATTTAAAGTAGCAATTATGCAAAATTGACTTTTCAGAGCTGTTATAGTTGTTGCCCTTTCTCATTTACTCTCTCGAAGTTGTATTTGGAGTGCATGTTTAAGCAATCTTTAATCACTTATTATGAAGACGCCATATTGCCGATCAACCCCGCTTTCGCCGTTACCAAAATATGCCCATTGCACGTTACTTACTTCGTTCTACAATTTTATTTTTTTTTTAATCTGGGATGTATCTGTGTAACTATCCATAGGAGGTGCCAACTCTTTGTTGTGATGTCGTTTACAGCGACATCAGCTCCCATTGCACACCACAGTTTCAGAGGACATGTTTTATTCTTTTAGATGAATATTGCAATTTAAAACGTGTAAATTGTAACATAATGATCCAAAAATGACAGATTATGCCTATATAGCAGGTTCAAATGTTATGTGTGTTCTTCAAAACAAATAACAAACATACTTTACATACAGAGGGTTTTTGTGCCTTTTTGAACATAGTATTACTATTATTTTCACAGACGCGGCATTTTGAATAACAATAAATGTACAAGATTTGACAGCTTTAAAATGTATGGAACCAACCTTTTGCCTAAACCACGTTAAAGCCTGTTTTTATATAGCAAGGCAGTCTGAAAGTTCACATCTTGAATATTTTATTAAGACATCACTGAATTAATGCCCCGCTCTCTCCTCCCGACTTTATGGTTTTTGCGTAACATGAAAGCTATCTGCATCTTGTCATGTTGCAAATATCTCCTGCTATGTTGTGAGGGGAAATCTCTGCTCCAGTCTGCTCCAATCAGGTTCGCCGCAAATTTCCTTGATATAAAAATATGTAGCGGAGGAATGCGCTCGTCTCACTCCCTGCTGAACTCCAATGCATTTTTGCCTGTTATGTGATTGACTTCTAAACAAAGAGCATTTGACAAGTCTGCTAACTGTCATTTCTGCGTCCAACCTACTTTTCACCCAAATCAAATGTGTTATTTTTTTTTTTTTGCTTTTATATTTTCAAAGACTTCTTCTAGCTTTAATCTAGCATCTATTATTACCTTTTCCCCTTCGCACATAAAAGCGAAATCTCTTAGTCAGACAAGCACGAGCAATTAAAAGCGTAAATAATCAAGCCACATTTGGCCGCTGCAGACGCTAAGCTAATTCTCCCGCCTTTGATAATAGGTAATGAGCTAGCATTATTTTTCCTATGCCACGTTAATTGCTTTTCTGTATTTCCCTGGTTGGACAATGGGTTTTTCGGTGCTAGATAAGAGATGCACCCCCGTCACCCCGGCGATGAGTGTTCCGGGTAGATTGCGAGGGCTAAAAGCACTCTAGTTTAAAATGGGTTTAGTCAAAGCAGTGAAGGACAGCCTCTTGTCACAGCTCTCTTGGCCTATTCACATTATTTTAGTTTAGGAGCGGGGCCTATTCAGATGATTTTAGTTTAGGATGCAGGAGTTGAGGTTTGGAGAGGTGTGAAAAGTGAAAAGAGACAATGAAAGAGGAGAGGCGACCGCGAGGAGGAAGATGCTGCTGCTGTTACTGCTGCTGCTGCTGCTGCTGCTGAGTCATTCCCTGTTGTAACAAAATGGCAGCTGGTCTGTCTCAAGAAGCCAGGGTGTCTAGCCATGGGTTTCAGAATCATGAAAGATTTGGACAGTTGTCATAGCAATTAACTATTTGAAACAAAATATTGTATCTTTTTGAATAATGAAAATTCCCAAATAATATTAAATCTATAACAAGCTGAAACTCTTGAATAGTGAAGGATTTGAAGATGACATTAATAGGCCTGTCACGATAATTACTATATGGACTTATCATGCAATATATGAAAGTTAAATATATTTTGGGGCTTAACATTTTTGTGGGTACATCTTCTTTGCAAAAGTGGGGAAATTTTTGGTATTTTTGTTGTAATATGAAAAAATCTTTGCACTGTAGAGGGTAGAACAATAACTCCAGTTCATTCTGTTATTCATGTCTATTTAAAATCATCCTACTTTGTGGCAGTGGCATAAAATATTTTTCTGTAGTAATATATCGTGCTTCCAAATTTGTTATCGTGAAAGGCCTAATCACTTGTGTGTTTCATTGGACAGTGGTTAAGAATATTCACAACAGTTGTCTATTTGTAGCATTCATTCATGATGTGGTACTGCCAAATTACTCCACAATATTGCAAATCTGCATTATTTTATGTCCTTTTAAAATGCACTGTTCACTGTTCACATTTTGTTGTGTCATTTTATCTTCTACCAAAATTTACCTGGCCAATGATGATATACAAATCTGGTTACATTCCAATTGTTCATTCATTGTTATTTATGCAGTTTTCTTAACAGTGTGGTAAGTGGGGCATATTTCTTCTTTTATATTTCAAAATATCTTCTTTCAAAATTAACCTTACCGATAATAATAGAAATCTATAATATAAGCTGGTGTTTTTGTTTTTTTTTACTAATTTCTTTTCCATTTGGTGGCAAGTTTTTTTCAATTTGGAATGTTTGTTTTTTTGTCATTTATACAGGCCCCATTGAGAGTATCAACTTTTGCCATGAGCGCCCTGTTCAACAAAAACAAAACTATATTTACATATTAAAACATTTAAAACAAATTTTCACTATAAATGATTTTACAAAATGCAATAGTAACGCCAGTGTTCATAACCTCTTCAAATGTAACAAGAAATGTGATTTGTATTTGGACATCTCACTCACACAAGCTCAGGGTTCACTCTTCACTCTGGTCCCTAAACTCTTGTTTCTCTAGTGACATTTCCACAGTGGTAGTCAAGGTAGTCTGTGTGTTCCTCTCTGTAATTGGTGCTTTGTGGTCCTCAGGTCTCATGGGCCTCCCGTCAGACTCGTCTCAGCAGACGCACACGTCCTGCTCCTATCAGCACTCCCCCAGCGGCACCATCAGCTCCCCGAACAACCTCCCCAACAACCAACCCAACAACCACCCCAACCACCAGCACCCAGCCAGCGTGCCCCTGTCCCACCCATCACAGGCCCACCCGGGACACGCCTCCCCTCACCCACAGCACCTCCCTCAGCACTCTGGCCCTCACAACCACAACCAACACAATCAACACAATCAACACAACCAACACAGTCAACACAACCAACACAGTCAACACAATCAACATAACCAACACAATCAACACAACCAACACAACCAACACAACCATGGGCACCAGGCACACCCACAGCACCCTCAGCACACAGGGCACCCACAGCAGCACCCATCCCATGGACAGCACCCACCACAGCACACGCCGCACCCATCACAACACGCCCAACACGGACAGCACCCACAGGGCCATGGAGCGCAGCACCCGAGCCTGTCCCACCCAACCCACCCAGCCCAGCCGCAGATGGCCTGCAACACAGGTAAGTCTTGTACTGGTCTTATAGCTGGGTGTCAGAGGGCATCACTACATTCTAGACAATAATATTTATTCATATGAGCGTTAAACTATGTGATAAATCAATGCTATTACCTCAGCAAATCATACTTGGAATTGTGTTTTATTTCATTCACACATGTTTGAATAATGCATTATTAAAGCATTACTAGTCTGTCTGCATCTCCAAAGCTCAAAATGCTCTGTTCCACCTTCTGATGTCATGAAGTGGTCGTTTTCAAGTGAATAGCTACATTTTACCTTTAGTTCAGTTGAGACTGGCAATTCCAGAGTTGAAGTCTAGTGAAGGTGTATGGAGTTTATAAACACAGTGGAGCACTTCCTGTGATACTGCATGACATCACAAGGTGGAATAGAGTGTTTCCTGTTTGAGGGAAGAACCTAAATATGCAGGATTTGTGTGTTAAACGTGTTTGAACGCCCCTCAGCATAAAGTCTGAAAATCACCAATAGGAGGTATTGGTAGAGATGCTGGTGCACTAGTTTGAAGGTTGGCAGTTTATGTCCTTGAGCAAGTAGGGTTGTCAAAAGTGAAATAGTATCGAAACTAGATACTTATTGGAGCAAATATTGATACTGGGGGAAAAAAAAAAACATAAATAGAACAAAATTCTCTGAATGAAGACCACAGAGTAACCTATCATTATTTATATAAAATGAACATTCATATGATTATTGTATTGTATTGTATTGATAAGTATTGATTCTATTCCTTAGTATCAAAATCAAGTTTGAAATTTTAGTATCATGATAATACTATGGGCTAGAGACTTGAACCCTCTTGCCTGTACAAATGCACATGTTGTACTTGTCATGCTTCATCAGCTGTTCTCACAAGATGCAGAGATCCATCTTTTTTTCAAGTGAAGTGAGTCTACCATAAATGTTAACCATAGCTATTCAGGATGGATACTAATATTGTTTGGTGTTTACAAACCTAATAAAACCATCCAATCAAAGCGCTAATGCGAGAAGCCCATAATTAAGTACCAGAATTTATTAACACATTTTCTAGACCAGATACTAGCTTTGAGATACAATCTTTGGTTTAAACAATTATAAGTTTGCAAACATATTTAACCTATTTCCAATCCAAGGCCATAATTAAAAACCACTAATTGATTATGAACTACAATGTTTTTTCTAGACCATTAGATTTAAGAGAGAATCTCAGTTTACACAACTATGTCATATGTTTTTGTTAATTGCATGTGGTGGAATGTGCGTTCCCTCACCTTTTATCTATGAATCATTCTAAAACCAATAGTCTTAGTGTAATCTAGCGGGTTTTACATCACCTGCGTGTGAAGATTTATTTAGCAAACATAAAACATAACCCTTAAAGTTGTTTTTATTCAATATTTATGGGCTTAATATTTACATTATCATCTCGCTGCTAAATCATCCCCTGATTTATTATCTTCAGTGAGAACAAAGCACTGCTCTAGCCAGTGTTTCCAGGGTCACATGGCGCCTCCTAGTGGCCACAGATCGGTACTGACTTATTTAAGAGGCTGATAAAGTGTTTTATTGGGTGTTATAGTGCTATTTATTTATGTCATAAATAGTAAAGGCTTCACGGCTTTGAATAAGGTAATTCTAAGTAACTGTTTATCAGGCCCGGAGTCCCACTTTACAGCGCTTGATGGTGTGAAACAGTCACAGCGCTGCTCAAGAGTCTTGTGGGTTATTCAATGTGGAATGGACAATATATATTTTATGATGCTCTTGGATTAGCTTTATCAAAACTTACTATAAAATACTGCAGGTAACAGGCCATGTCTAGACTGTTTCACAAATCGTGGTTTATACTAGAGAACAGTGAAAATCCTACATTTACATATTTGCTACTATAATTAAAAAATAAGTTCACACAATTTTAAATATTGAAAGTTTATAGATATACCAAGAGTGCCACCTGCTTGTCTAAAAACATTTCTACATAATCTAACAATGTATGACTTTAAAGCATGAGATTTTTGAGCAAAAAAATGGTGATTTCACCGATTTTATTCTCACGTATTAATTTATTCCAGGTGGTTAAAATGCTTTGTTTTGTGTCTCCAGGTATTTTGTCGGACTGGTACCCAAATCTGGATGCACTGAAAGAAAGCTGTCGCATCGCTAGCAGCTACAACTGGGCTGACGTTGACCTTTCACCCTTCCAAGGTGCAGCTCTCGTCTACACCTTTATATGACAGCATTACAAGAAACATGCAGTTTATAAGTTATAAAGTAGTTTTGTTATTCTTTTATCTCTCAAGGCTCACTTACTGATCCTGTAGAGTGTAATAATAGCTGAGTGGCCTTGCTTTAGATTCATGCTGAAGTGTTGACACCAGACTTGATTATTGAGTATAATTAATGTGAGCTCTTTAATTAAAAACACTGGCCTCAAGTTTAATCACCAAAAGCCTCCTCTCAGCAGGTTACTATATCAGATTACTGTGTAGGACTGAAAAGTATGGCGTTTTTGAACATTATAGTAAAGGTTAGTGCCTAATGGGAAGATATTGCTGAATTTTAGCTTTGTGTATGCAAATTAAATCATTTATTAGATTTTTAGCCTGAAAACTGGGTCAGTCTCACATTTAGTGCCACAATAGCAGTGATATTATGAATAGTAATCTGATCTAGTGGGTTTGTGTGTCTTGTCAGGTCTGAGGGAGAGTATGAGACAAGCGGAGTTGAATAACTGGTCTCTGGAGCCCACACAAATCGCGGATCTCTGCTCGTCTATCAACCAGTTCTTCGCCCGTACCGGAGTTATCCAGCCACAGGGGGCAGTGCAGTCTCCCACCTGCCACGGCCCCATGCACCCCACCAAACCCAGCCAACACCTCAACACAGGTTTGACTTTTTATGTTACGTTGAACAGTTGGGCACATTTGCTAAATCTTTCTTTCAACACCGGCTACAATAGTTCTCCTTGTACAATGTAGTCGTGTAAACTTCTACACCCTATACTCTTTACAGTACATTATTCATGTACTCACTCACACACTCGGCATCTGACTAACTAAAGCCACGCTGCCAATCTGTGTTATCAGCCCCTCTGGTCACTAACAATACACACCCACACCATGTTCATACTAGGCAATGTGGGTGAAGCGTCTTTCCCAAGGGTACAACAACAGTTTCCAATAGAGCCACTGCTACCTCACTGCAGCGCCTGGTACTGAAATCACTAAGCAGGCTTGATCTTGTGTAGCATCCATGATTAGACAGGATTGTGTATTGACAACGTTATATTGTCACAACTTAAACCGAGAGCCCGTCCTTGATGCAGTCCTCCCCCTCACGGTGGTCCTACAGGAGCGTGCTGAGTGAGGCCAGGTTTCATGAGGGGACATCCCTGGCTCCTGCTCAAAGTCCTTGTTTGCACACTATTTATACAACGCTATCAAGCTGCTCTGGTCTGGCATTTCATGTAGGACATGTTTCTTTTGGCAGACCGTAGAATGTCTGTTTAGCTCCCAAAAACATGAAAAGTTCTAATTCATCGGAGCTAGAACAGCACTGCCATTGTGTCACCGGGCAAGACACCAACATGCACATCACTATTGCTGTGCAGATGACATCATAACATTCATTTAGCTTATAATGTTTAATGGAAATAGCAGGTGTGATATAATGACACCATCACCATCTTCTCTCTATATTTTCCATAAAGATACTGTTTAATAATAATCATAACAGACACAAAAGTTATTGTGTAGCGGGAGTTTTACTACTTATATTTGTGTGTGTGTGTGTTTTTAGGTAATCTCTACATGGACTCGAGACAGGGTATGACCATGATGGGCCCCCCTGGATACCCCCACATGCCCCCCATGAGCAGTGCAGGCCCTACAATGACAGGTAACTTTTAGAATTAGGCCCATATTACACGATTTCTGATCTATGTTATAATGTTTTCTCACCAAAAACATATCTGGACTTGTGTTTTGTTTCATTCACACGTAATACATAAACCCTGCATATTTAGTGCGTTCTTTTCTCAAATGAAAAACCCTCCACTTTGTGATGTCGTGTGGTAATACAGGAAGTGCTCCACTGTGTTTTTAAAATCGGTGTATCTTCACTGGAATCATTTGGATAATTTCAGCCCTGGCATTTCCCATCTCTATTAAACTAAAGGTAACCATTAACTTGAAAACTACCGCTTCATGGAACAGGGGATTTTGAGCTTTGGAGATGTAGACAGACTAATAATAAAGGATCATTTAAACATGTGTGAGTGAAACAAATCACAACTTCAGGTATGTTTCTGTGGAGTTAACTACATTCTAACATAGCTTAATTTTTTTGTAATATGGGACCTTTACACTAGCCTGATTCATCAGCCGGTTTCACTTGGTGGAAACCGTCTGACCTCACAGCATTAGAATTTGTTCGCTCAACGGTAGGCGTGTACTTTTTTTCATTTAACCAATCGCTGCTATTTGGTTGTGAAGTATGTAATGCGCCTCTAACAGGGCTAACTGGTATATTAAGCTTTTCCCAAATCCTGTAGGAAGAAGAGCAGTAATGTCCTTTCCCTTGATAAAATTCACCAAACATTCTCTTTGTTCCGGCTTTAAATCCTCGATCTCGGAAATCGTCGCCAACACAGAATGTATGGCTCTTCGCTGATTGGCTGATGCCCGAACTCGCACTTCCGGGGTTTTTTGCAAGTAGTCTAGTGTATTTCGATTCCTGACCTAGTCCCTGGAAAGAAATGAAATTGATCGGAGGCACTAGGTGACGCCAGCTTGGCTACCTTTACACTAGCTCCATTTCAAACATTTTCCTCACTATGTCAACATGTTCCTACTGAAAGTGGATGAGAGAAAAAGGCGATTGTTACTTCATATTTTCTCTTTTGCTTTTCCCAGGACACCATGCACAGATGAACCAGCAGCACATGATCCCGAGCAGAAACTTCCAGATCCACCGCATGCCAGCCGATGACATCCAGGACGACTTCGACTGGGACTCCATTGTCTAACACAGGGCCCAACGCTGGCCAAAACAAACGCATAATAAACGAGCGATGCCAGGAGGACCCCACAGCTGCGCTCAGCTCCCGACGGAAGAGGGAATGTGACGCAGGACCATGATCGGACTACGCTTTGGAGACACGTAGACTCAAGACTGTGACTTTTTTCAAACACATACCTAGGAGATGTTACTTTTGAAGACAATCATACTAGTCGGACATGTCTTGATCGCTTGTACTCGTCCCGGGACATGTTAAGACCACATTGAACCACCCAGCTCCTCGGCCGGCCCTGTCCTGTCACTAGCCAGCAGCCCTCCACATATCTCAGCTCTCCTCCCTCTCTCACCGCTCCGTAACTGTCTGTGATTTGAGCGAAAACGTGTTCCGCTTGTAACTTCTCGTGTTGACATTGGCCTCCGCTGCCTCTGTTTTTTAAAAAGATGTTTTGTTTGTTTTTATTTTATTTTAGGAAACACAGGCCGTCTCTGTGAGTAATGTGATGGTGCTTGTTGGTCACTTTTGGGGGGGAAAGGTGGATTTGGCGTATTTTAAAGGTTTACAATTTAGTCTTGATGTTTAAAAAAGGAAATGGAATAGCACAATTAGCTTGGGCACGATTTTGAATGGTGAGTGTGTGTGAGAATAGTGTCTTTTTAATGGTTTTATTATCAAGCTATCTTTTTTATTTTACTTTGTAGTCCAGTTAATATAGTTTCAGATCATTTAAATGTGCCTACAGCAATTTCAACAGCATTGCCCAGTTTATTTGTCTTGTATGCAGAGTGGGAACTTGCACATGCTGGCCACTTTATTAGGTACACTGGTGTGGCTCATCTCATACTGCGCTCTTCTATACACCTCCCTCAGATTTTTGTAAAGGTTCACTGTGTAACATTTCTGGTGGGGGGTCCATTAACTGTTTGTCTTCGATATTATTGCTTTGTCTTGCATTCTTGCTGTGAGAGGAGTCGCCGCTCCACAGATGAGACCTGGTACCATAGAAATGGGCAAGTCTAAATCTAAGTTGTAGAACATACCAGGCAAGGCAATGGTATCTCCAAAGAGAAAACTAAATGGCAAACTCTCAGAAATGTTACATAGTGAATCTTTACTATCATTTTATCCAGACATTTTCTCTTTTGTTTGAAAGTCTCTCAAACTTTCCTATTTTGGTATACAATGCTCTGTGTTTTGTTTCAGCTGAACAGCACATGTAAAATGAAACAAAATGCAAACACACGTAGAGCTCCACACAAATAACCAGTGACTACTGCTATCAGAGGTGGGTAGAGGTGGGTAGCCAATTATTTTACTCAATAATAAATAATATTATACAAGTAGAAGTGCAAAGTTGTGTTCCAAGAAAATACTTAAGTGTTAAAAAGTATGTCATTTGAAGGAAAACACATGAAACGCTGCACAAAAAAAGGATAGACCACAACAATACTCTAATACGAGTAACAGTGGTGTGTGAAAACTACTGAGAACTGCAGTTATATTAAAGTTATATCATGTTAAATAAAAGTACTTTAAATAAACACATTACCCACCTCTGATTGCAATATATAATTTACAGTGAAGGCTTACACGGTCCATGATTACATAATATTTAATGTATAAGTTGTATGTTTGTTTATCATCTACAAACTCCTGCCCGCTCTATACATACATGGGTAATTTTGGCTCTTATCACCATGTTCCAAGTGACTCATTATCTAGAAGTGTGTGTGCTGGATGAACATACAGTGTGTGTTTGTGTGTGTGTGTTTTGTAATCTTAGGGCTAAGATTGATTGCTGTAATCATCTGTATGCTATCGACGAGCACAAAAGCAGATGCACACACTGATTGAATGGAGATTTGAGATGTCCGTTTGCGAGAGAGGACAGCCTTGGGGACTATGACAATATATGAGACACTATGTTTTAAAAGCCTTTTGCACATTTAACCTTTTGTTTATGTTTGAGCAGATTGGAAGTGCTCCTCGTGTATTTTCCATATGCAGTAGTCATTCGCAGCTACAGTGGCTCCCTCTGCTGGTAACTGAGCCACTGTCTGCCGCTGAGTGTAGAGTTTTAGCTAGCCACCAACATAATTCATATACTTAGATGACAATCACACAATTTATAATTTTTTATGTGTTTTAAATTTTTTTTTTGAGAAGGCACTTTCAATTCAGCTGTTTATTGGAAATTATCGTAACATTGAGGGGTGCCTTGTTTTTAACCTTTGTTTTCATAGTTTACTTAAAGACCCTTAGTGAAACTGCCACATGTAACCAAGCAATCATTCTGTTTTATAATGTTTCTTGTTTTTTTTTTTTGTTTTTTTGTTTTTTTTGAGGGGGGGGGTTATGAGTATCAAGTGTCATTGGGCAAAGATCACAAAACCTGTGGATCTCAACAATGTTTTGTTTACGCTGCCATGGATGTAACTCCTCTTGTGCTTAGCTTTAGTGCTTGAGTAACAGGGTTTAGTAATTTGTATCAAAGTCAACTGCGCTTTTTGTCAAGAGTGAACTACTTTTGAGTGAGTGTGAGCCAAAAATTTGCAATATAATGTATGTGTCACATCCAGGAGGCACAGTGAATATAATCTATAATATAATCTGGCTAATATGTTAACTAAATATTTTTGCTTTGAAAATATTTACATTTTTCGGGGATTTCAATACGTGCAAACTGCAAAACCTTACAGTTAAACTATTTACTGCCCATCCCTGTGTCTTATGTAAAAGGCTGAGTGTATTTCAGTTATTCCCGGTAAAGATTCTGTTCTGTAACCATAAACCGTTTGTAAACTTGAGCAATTTTAACTAAACCTTCCAAGCAGAGCAAAATGACAAGTTAAAAGGGAAAACAGTTAAGGCAACGACTGGATTACAATCACAACGTTGTGTCTGTGTGTGTATACGTGTATATGTGTGCGTGTTTGTGAGTATGTCTGCTTGTGTGAATTCCTGTTAGAAGATTTCAATGAACACAAACCTGCCAGAGAGATTACCAATCCTGGGGTACAGATGAATACAGATAAAAAATGTTTGAAAAAGCCTTGTTACAATATGGGGAGAACTGCCAACAAGTACTGCTGATGGAGGCCTGTGGTATTCAGTGCTGGTGTGTTGGTGCTTGTACATAAATGTCTTTTCAATCATCCATTTTGTCCTCTTGGGGGTGGGGTCTATGGCCGGAAGGGGTGTGGCCTCTTCACCGCAGAAAAGGAGGGAAAAAGAATAGAGTATTTTGTTATTGTCCAATCAGAGGGTGACAGTTTGTATATATCTATATTGTATATATGTGATGAAAATGCTTTTGTGTGACACTACCTTTTACCTGTACTATGGTTCAACATTCAGTGTTTCAGTGTTGCTAATATATATTTGGTTTGTGTTTTTATTTTTTGATTTTGTCTCTTGTCATTTCTTGTATTTTTTTCCTCCTTTTGTCCCTTTTTTGTTCATTGCACGGTTTATTACTTTGGTCGTCCAATGAGGTGACACAGCTAACTACTCTTTGTATTTGTTTAGTGCTGTAAAATAACTCAAGTGTTATTAGACTTGTTGATACCACCGCCCGCCCCACCCCCTTCCCCCAATATGCATGAATGGCACTTAAAGAAATAAAATATGGTAACTTCACTGTGGACAAATCTCACGTCTGACCTTCATTTGCTGAGAATATGGCTGCATGATTTACAACAACGTCGTACAGTATGTTTTCTGAAGATTTCTTGGGGGGATGGTCCGATTAGTTTTTTTCTTTCGGTCAAGTATGGTACCAGTAGCCAGTATTTTTATTACTGTTCATGTAATTTAAAGAGAAAAAAAATCATGAGAAGGCCCACAAACTGAAGTAAAGTTTAAAGTTTCCAAATTATTTTCTCAAATAAAATATAATTAGTAGCACTTATGCTTATTGTGTAAACATTAGATACTTTTTAAGCTTCATTGCTACTGTTTCAAGAAAATTTAAAATACTGGTAGAAAAATATTACAATTTTACAAATGCCAGTATTAGCACAAATATATATGTAATTGGTAAATGGTCACATTTTTATACAGCGCTTTTCCACCTTCGAGGCTCTTAAAGTTCTTTACAACAAGGAACCACTCACCCATTCACACACACATTCATACACCAGTGTACACAGACACTGGGGGCGAGGTGAGTTAAGTGTCTTCCCTAAGGACACAACAACAGCATGCATCTGTGGGAGTTAGAATCACACCACCAACCTGTGGGTCAGTGGATTTGAAAGCTCAACCAATGATGTTTATGTCGAGAGCTGGATTTGAACCACCAACCAGATCAGTGGACAAATGCTCTACCAACTGAGTTAATTATAGCCTTTTTCTTTTTAATTTGAATATGACTTGTATTGAACTAACTCACAGGTGGGCCAATGGACTGGTAGCCAGGACAGTTATCTGGAGCCTCAGGGTCAAGGGTCAAATCTTGCCCAATGTAGTTTTTGTGTTAGTACAGGGAGTACCAGGATACAGATCATCTTTGGATTTGAATCAAGTCTGTTGGATTATTCATCAGTTGCACTTAGCTAATAATACTCATATCATTGATGTGCTTTCTTAAGAACATTTAGAGGATGCCAAGGTACGGTTTCCAGCTCTTGGTTCTGTACTCACACAAGCTAAATCAAATCCACTGAAACAAAGGGCATTCTGCTGGCATACTTTTAATGTACAGATAAAATATTGGACATCACCTCTCGTATACTCGAAGGATTACATAAAGCTATAGCCTAGTCCGTCTGATCCCCTAATGGCTTCAGATAAACAAATGAGACGTGAGTTGCTGAGCTGCTAAAATATGAGTAATGTCCCTGTCAAGCCTCCCCTTTTAAAAATAGACTGCCATTGGTTATACTGTACACAGTTCACTCAGTGCACCATTGGACAGCACAGGGAACAGGCAAAGTAAAAGTACTCAAAATATGATCTCATATTAAAAGCTCTGCCACAAAAGACCACAAGCCAGGTACACATTTTGGCAGTCGCAACCCCATATAAATAGAGTTGAAAATTGGACAATATTCAATTTACTTTGAGCCAAATCACAATTTATATTTGAGCACCATTCAGATTCATGCATAATTAGTATCTTTACATTGCAGAGGTAAATAACACCTTTTCCTTCTTCAGAAAGTTCACACTTAAATCCACCTCTCACTTACTTAGAGCCTTACAGAGGCTGATCAATAGAAGGAGTGAGTGGAGAAATATCCACTGAAATATCCAAAAGATTTAAAAGATTTAAAAATGTCGAACATGATCATTTCTATCCAGAACTAGACCCTAGAACTTGCTACATCACAACAAAACTCACAAATATGTATTATTTAATATTGGTCTGACCCTAACCATACTGATGTCCTTTTTTTTTTTTAAGAACACCCTTAATAACCATAAATGTCTAAAACTCTATGAATGTGAATGACATGTTTTAGGGGCTAGAGGTGACTGCTGTGTCATCTTGTGCTCTCTGTGTAGGTGGGCCTCTTACGCACACCACCAGGACATCCACAGGGTCGGACACTTAAATAGCATGTGGTCCCCGTCACATGGCAGACTATATGCACAGTGTGAGCACAGCAGTGAGGTAAAGAAAGGACTCACAGTATTCAGAGGGACAGAGAAGAAGAACACCATGTGGCCTTTGCTGCTTGTGACTCTACTCCTGAATGTCCAGCTCTTCACAGCCGCACCAATTAGTAAGATACACTTTTCTATTGTTGTTTTGAGCCTAGTTAGTTCTTTTGGTACTTGTTATAACGTAAAGCACACTATGTAACTTACATTGTGGAGGGGCCGCTGCCGTCACCTGCTTATTTTGTTTGTTTCCATGGAGATGATGTAGCTTTGCCTGGAAGGTTTCACAGTATGGCAATAAACTTATGGAGACTAGCAGGTGCCATTTGGACAAGTTACAGGTCAGATCTGTGGAGAGGCACAATGGAAAGCTTGTAACTGAATACCTCCTTCAAAGAAGAGACCACATAAATCACTTTAATGACACACTGTGGAACACAGTAAAGCAATAATCATGCAGGTGGCATACCCTCACCAGAAACATAACACAGTGTACCTTTTAAAAAACAAGTTACAAATACTTATGTTTAGTTACAATTACTTATGGTTTTCTTTTTCCATCCTTCAGTAATTTGGGAGCTACCCATGATTTCTCTTTTGACAAATCAGCCATTGTATGTCCAATTAGATAGATTTGTGCCTTCATTATGCACCAAAGTATTATTTATAAGATGAATAATTTTCAGATGTTCAAGCAAATGCTCAGTATAGAGAGGCTGGAGAATCCCAGAGGGTCTAAAACCTAATAGTCAAGTATGAAATATAAATATAAAATAAATGTTAAATATGAAATCTTTTATATATACAACTATATATTATATGACAGTGGTGCCGGAAAACCACATGGATGATTCACGTGCGCTAAATTTAAATATCTGCTTCATTCAGCACATGTTGTTCACAAACCATATGTTCATGTTACACACTTACCGTGAGAGACGTTTGGACTGCCACAGATCACTAATGTTACATAATGAGTCATCAACAGTAATGTGATCTTTGCAGACTTTCATTTTAATTCATCATTTTAAAAATCATATTTATTCTTGCACCAAAACACTTCTCTGATGTGTTTACTCAAAAGTATGTTAAAATGTTTTGTATATATAAAATACTAAAGTAAAATGTTTTTTGCAATTCATGTCTTTAAATGTTTCAAAGGTTTGTTTTGTCTTTTGGACTTTATGGTGCAACGACAAAGTTGGGCACACAGAATTAACTTTTGCTCAAGTGTTTTCAGTTTGAACTATAACTATTTCTACATGAGAAATGTTCATCTTACAGTATAAAATGACCAACTCTAATTGTGAAAACTCTTTTACAGAACAAGACCTGAAAACTGGTGAGGACATTTTCCAAGATGATGCCGATAACCTAGATCCAGTGGCTACTTCTATCAAAGAAGGAGAGGAAGCAGTAGAAGAAGCTGCTTCAGAGAATGGACCTCCAGATGATGAAGAACCTCCAAATAACACGGAAGAGGTCACTGTAGAGGATACTGCCCCAGAAGAGCCAGAAAATCCAGTTATTGTAGCTACTGACGACCAAACGAGTGAGGAAGCTGTTCAAGAACCAGAACCAATAGCTGTTGTTGAAGAATCTACCAATGATGAACCCACTTCCGACCAAGAAGAAGTCATTGTAATTGAAGAGCAAACATCTCCAGAAGATGATGCCACTGACAATGAGGATGGAACAGAGGATTCAGTAGAAGGTGTAGCCCCTGTTGATTCAGAAAATTCAGAAGAACCGGAGGTGATTGCTGTTGTGGAAGAAGAGCCCAAAGAGGAACAAGGTCAAGAAGATGCAGATGCTGTTGCTGTTGTTGAAGAAATCACAGAAGAAGAAGCTGTTCCTGAGGAGGCTGAGGTACCAGTGGTTGTTGTTGGAGCAGAGGAAGAGGAAACTCAAGAAGATGTCATAGAAACAGCTGTTGTTGCCACAGTAGATGAAGATCCAATCACTGAGGATCAAAATGAACCAGTGGTAGTTGCTGTTTTGGAGGGATCAGAAGAGGAACCCGCCCCAGAGCAAGCAGAAGGAGATATTATTCCTGTTCCAGAAGAGGAAACAACTTCAGAAGAATCACTAGAAACACCAATTGTTGCTGTAGTTGAGGATACAGAAGAAGAATCCGTCAACGAAGATCCAGTTGAACCATTGATAATCGTTGCTGTAGATGAAACTGACAAGGAATCAACTTCTGAAGATCCCGAAGGAGCTGATATTGTGATCGTAGAGGATGGCAATGAAGAAACTACATCTGAAGACCAGGAGGGAGCAGTAGTAGTCGCTGTGGTGGAAGACACGGACAACCAACCAGAACCTGAAGAAGATACAGCTGTAGTTGCTATTGCTGAAGATACCGAAGAGGAGACAACTGAGGAAGATCAACCTGTTGTTATTGCTGTTGGGAGTGATGTGGAGGAGGAGCCAGCTTCAGAAGATACAGAAGGGGTTGTTGCTGTTTTAGAAAGTACAGAAGCTGAAGAGACAAGTGAAGACCAAGCTGGAGCAGTGGTAGTTGCTGTTGATGGAGCTACTGAGGAGGAACCAACTCAAGAGGAGTCAGAAGAAACCCCTGTTGTTGCTGTTGTTGAAGATAATGAAGACGAGACCACTACGGAAGATGAACCGTTAGTAGTCGTTGTTCCAGAAAGTACTGGCGAAGACCAAGATGAAGCAGCAGAAGAGGAACCCGTTGTAGTTGCCGTGGATGCTGCAGCTGACAGTACCGAGGAGGAACCTACTTCTGAAGATACAAGTGTAGCTATTATTGCCATTTTAGAAGGTGAAAGTGAAGACACAACCACTCAGGATGGAGAATCAGTGGAAGGGGCAGATGAAGAACCAGTTGTGATTGCTGTTGTTGAGAGCACCGAGGAGGAACCCACTTCTGAAGATACAAATGAAACCACTGAGGACGAAGACGGAGCTGTCGTAGTTGGTATTGTGGAAGACGCAGACGCTGAACCCAAAGAAGATGAACCCATTATTGCCATTGTAGATGGTACAGAGGAAGAAACTACAGAAGACCAGGAAGAACCAGTTGTAGTTCCTGTTGTGGAAGATGCCGAGGAACAGCCAGAATCAGAAGACCAAACCGCTATTGTCGCCATTGTTGAAGTCACTGAGGAGGAACCCATCCCAGAGGAAACAGAGGAAGTTGTAGTTGCTGTAGTTGAAAGCACAGAAGGAGAAACAACCAGTGAAGATGGAGAGGTTGTGATTGCTGTGGTGGATGGCACAGAGGAAGCCACTGAAGAGGACACACCTGTAGAACCACAAGAACCTGAAGTGGTAGTCGTGGTTGAAGAAGAGGCAGCTGAACCCACCGTAGCTGCGAGTGATCCAATAGTTTTTATTCCTGAAGAAGTTGGTGGTGATGACAAAAACCAAGGTAAATCTACTCCAGAAGAATCCAAACAGCCCAGCCTAGAAGAGGTCCTCTTTTTTAACGTAGTTGGCGTTGAATCGCTAGCTCCTGGAGAGGCAATTGTTCAAGAGGAACCAATAGGTAAGATTACAAACAAATGCATACATGTCTTGACTCTAAAATAGTATCACAGGGATGGTCAATAGTTGTATGAGTCTGATTGAAAACGTAGTCAATATTTGGCTTCAGTAATTTAATTAATACAATTCTCAGTGCAGACTAGAGAGTTAAAATGGAAATAGAAGAGCAATTGCGTGGATGTTATGTTTACATCATGCAACACATTACTTTATATCTTTATTAGTGATCATTTTTCCAAAAGTGAAAAAATTAATTAGTGGGGCTTGCTAAAGATTTTTAAAGTGTTGATACTGATAATAATAAATATCTCTTATTGGCCACAGCAGAAAGATGTACATCAGATACTGGTACAGGCTGAAAAAATCCACATTGGACCATTTGTAGTAAAATAAGTACTTAGATGCATTTAGTGACTTTACAATTGTGGTTTCTTTCCTAGTTCTGATCAACAGAGGGGCAGTCCTGGGAGCCGCATTCTTCACTTTGGTTTGTTTTATGGCCATTGGATTTGTTGGGATAACTGTGTCCAAAAAACTGCGGTGAAATAGAGTAAGTAATTATCCTTTTTTTTAAGATTAAATTCTACTCTTTTGATTAATGCATTGTGTTTTTCTTTTAGGAAGGAAGACTTTCTCTGCTGTAAATAATGCAAGCTCTAAGAGTTTTTATGGTAATTTATTATGCCATGTTGTGTTTGGGGACCTAAAACAATTTAATGTTACAACTTTTGGAACGTTTATGGGGTTGGCTTGAAAATCATTGTTAAAAGGGTTATTATAGCGTTGTTGTAGGTTGTAAATCAATATGTGTAAATAGGCAACAGTTTGTTTACAACTGTTGGCATAATGGGCCTCTTGTTCACAGATTGTTTTTTACTATAGTTCCAACTGCCAAAAATCTATTTCAGTTGTTCTCTGTGGATTTGGAGACTGTAAAGTGGAGGCTGTGAATGCACACACTCTAAAAATAGAAAGGTTGTCTGTAAGTTGTGGCATTATATCTGCTACAAATGTAAATAGTAGTGTTTTTAAAAAGACCTGAATGATTCTTGAAAATTGGAGTGGTGTGAAGATTATTTACAGTGTGTAATGCGCATTGTTTGTAGACTTAATGAACCCAAAGCGAAAAATAATTGGCTTTTATTGTTCCACTTTTATGTGTGTCATCATAGTCACTAATGTGCATGAGATACTTTTATATTGAACTACGAAAAACCAGCTCTTATGCAAATGTCCAAGCAGATTGTATTGCTGAATTTTACAATAATTATGTCTAGTGTTAGATTTGATTAAACACCCTTTAAGTTCAGAGTAATCACATAGGCTGCAGTAGAAGTCATACTGTGCAGGTCGACCAAAGATGCCTATGGTTGTTAATGAGTCACTGGTCAGATCATTTTCCTTCCCAAGGAGAGACAGCTCCCCTATCAATCACAGCGGGGCATGCTTCTCTGCTCGCTCATATTTTTAGTAAACTGTATACGGTACACGCTGTTCTATATGTCTTCAACTCGATCAGACACAGCTACAAGACACTGCAGACTGAATGCCACATGCTTTTATTGCACATGTTGAGACTGTGTTCCAGTATATTTAAGGGGGTGTGGTGCCTTATATGTAATCTAAATCTACACTATGAACTCTAGTTATGTCCTGTAACTGTGAATAGACTCTTGTTATTTGCATAGAACCCTTGTTTTATTGAGATAAAGTCTTTGATAATACTGATGTACAGTACCTGGTATTGATGCTCAATAATGATGGGAGAGGGTGTGGTCGTCAGAGGGACAGTTGGAAACATGGAACTGGAGCTCTTTCAGCCAAAACCTGGAAAAAATAACTGAGGTTAAAAAAAAATCACTCAAATCATTTAAAAAATATCCTACAAATACACCCTTGAAATTCTATTGTATTATGAATAGAGAACAAATGCGTCTTTGCAGTTTAGAAAGATTTAAATAAAACTGATTGTCATGAGATACATACAAAATGTATAACTTAGCATGACGTTGGCATGTGTCCATCCGGTGTAAAATCTATTTAGGTAGATAGTAAAATACAAGACATGGTTTATTTATTACCAGCCTCAGTCTTAAGCTTCATCCTCCATTTGCGGTGACACAGCAGCCTCTTGTGGACTGCATCCTCCTCGACACATCTACGAACAAATGTGGGGCAGAAAATGAGCTAAATGTCAACACAGGTCCAGTTCATTACAGATTCAATTACTGTGACCCTGACTGTACACTATTATTTAAACAATTATGTAGTCTGCACTTTTTGCCACACTGAAAAAACATCTATAGAACTGTGAAAGAAAATACTATTAACTTTTATGTTTACATCATTAGAAATAAAGGGCGAGGATATGACAATATAAAAGGCTAAAATGATCAGTAAGGTTGTGCTAGTTGTTTATAGATATACAACATTTGAATGCCAGGTATCTATAATTTGTTGTATCTATAAAGTTGTAAACCCTACATTTGTGGATATTTTTTTTTCATTTTTGTCTTTTTTACTTAAACCAATCAATAATCAATTTAAAGACACATTTTTGCGCATCTTTGTTGGACTAACAAAAATGAAAAAAGCTTCTGATTATCGTTACCAGGACACTACAGACTATTGAAAGATGATCATTTTAGTCAATATTTTTTCACACCTAGGCTGTATAGAGGTTTACAGCCATGACTTGACTTCCTCGTTTGTCTATACAGTCTGTCTAGATATTGCAAAGTCAATATTGCATCATAAACTGTACAATTTTCCAACTTGTAAACTGTCCAATTAGTTTGATCCCAGCAGCAGTAGCAGTAGTGGTGGAAGGATGCGCAGATGGCAGCAGCCCACAGGCCCGTCCTGCTCAGATCTCTCACATGAGGCTGAGTGAGGGGCTTAATTGGCCTGGATCCGTATTGGCTGCAGTGTTCTGTGGTCCGGCGTGCGCGACAGAAGACACAGACCCGTATCTCGGCGCGTCTTCCTGTTCCCTAAGACCTGTTCGTAGCTATTCCCACTTTTGGCCCATCCTCGCAGTGTGTACCGAAAAGCCGTGACACGCGCTACCTCCCCCAGCACCTACTCCACACTATACGAGCCGGATGAGTTACTGAAAGCCCTAGTACGACTCCTCCTGGCTGCCTCCATCCGCCATTTTCAGCATTCAAGGCAGGTAGAGTGCCAAAAATTACCCCAGCCCCGCGGACAAATTAACAGGTAAGTGCGCGTACAAGTACCAGAAAGTGTTCTCTCGCGAAAAGACCGGAAACATCGGAGTGATAAAAAAAAAAAAAAAAAAAGCTTGCGAGCACCTTACTCCAGGAAGGCAGCAGCAGCATCGGGGAAGAGGAGAAGGGAACAGGGCAGGGATAGTGTCTTTCTGTCAGGGTAACAATAAACTATAGGCTGTTCTTGGGTGTTTCGGTGTAAGAAAAGACTATTTGTTGGGTTCTTCCGTCGGATTTGGAAGCACGCGTGACTTTTGTGCGCACGGCAACTTAAATGTCTCGGTTTGTTGTGTGAACTTCATCAAAGAGGGATGTGGCCAATTGATCCCTGGCACAACTTCACTAAAGGCGGTCTGTCCAGAAAATACGCTACAAAAGTTGGACAGTAGCCCATGTAAGTTTACGTGCTTTAAATTAATTAAAGGGGGACATGTTGTCGTTGGTCCAATATAGCCTTAAAGGGATGCGCACAACCAAAACAACAGCGGCTTCCTGAATCAGTAACTACTTGGAACGGTCACATAAGCTTTAAAGTTGCTTTTAAAGTAGTGTTTAGAAAGATAGAGTCAGTGAGTGCAATCAGACCGGCGCCCTAGACACTGACCAGCTGCTTATTGTGCTCCAACAATCAGGTCTTTGCATGTTGGGACAAAAGCAAGTGAGGAGCAGAGCATCTGTTGGATGAAGCAGCGACCTCACTTTTCTTTTAAGACACATATGCCTATGTATTGCACAGAATATAAAATCATATGTAATCCATCTTATTTATTATTTTTATTATTATTGCATCTTAAACGTTGATTAAAATCTCTTCACCTTCCTACAGACAACTTTTGGGACCTGATCCATCAGTAGAGAAACACCCATCTCACATTACATTTTACATCATCTGTCTCCATCTCATGGCATCTTCTCTCAGTGGTCATGTTTACTGCCTCTCCTGCCTCTCACAGCTCTAAATTCTATATCCTTTAAACAACAGGCTACATGTAGGTTTATTCACTGTCCTTCTATCACACGTATTCTTCCTGATGAGAAAATACCCCAGTCAATCCAGACTTGATTCTGCATGTTTCAAAGTATATTTTCTTGGCAGGTTTTCAAATGGAAATGAACCCTTGGTATTTGGTGCATTATACCAGACATATGATGTGAGGATTATTTTAGGATAATTAGGTCCCTTGTCTATCATGTGGTTCATCTTTATGTATCCCGATGGGTAATTTTAGCACACCAATTAGTTAAAATACAATAATAAAGCAGGCGTGAAGATTGGTGAGCAGTCTTTACTCAAACCTTATCATTAAGACAGTCTGTTGTGAAGATAATTATTAAATTATTTGATTATGTGTTGTTAGGCAAATGTAAATGGGTCCCTAGTTATTATAATTTAGAGTCTTAACAAGTATTGTATATCTTCTGTCCCTTGTAGTTGCCTTTTTGTGAATGGATCAGAGTGGAGGCACAGTGGAGACTTTAGATGAAGTCCCACCTCATATGTGGGCGGGGTTACCGGGCTATCTGAGTTTGGGACATTCAGCTGTCAACCAAAACCGCATAGGTGAGTAAATTTATGAGCACTGCTGCCTGTTGTTAATCAAAAGATCTACACGGTAAATAGCTGTGGGTTAGGTCTAGTAATTAATGGGTTCATCTCATCAACAAGGACACACACACGTAATCCCCAATAGGCAGTACTAAATAAAGAAACACCATGAAATGCAACAGGAAATGAAATAGGAAAAAATGGGTATGAACTTTATTCCTTCTCCAAGGACAGTATTTTTAACCCTTTATGACCTTTGAAGTAGGGATGTCAAAAATCAATACCCAGATACTAATCAATACTAAAACTAGGAGAGATACTCATTTGAAGAATCCATTGATTAATGTTTACAAAACTGTACGTTTCCTGAATAGTTTTATTTTAGAATAGTCTTAATCTATATCCAAACTTGTATAAGAATATGGTAAGTCTAAAGAAACTAAAATGAGTTTGTGTAAAAAAATAAAATAATAACATTGTATAAAAACTTGAAATTGGTGTAACTAACTACCTTGAAGGTAAATGACAAAAGCATTGGTGGATACTAGAACGTTTAGATTTGCATTGTAATTACCTGGCTGTTCTTCATTATAGAGTTGGTTTAATGATCTAAAATTCCTAGACAAAACTTAGACATAGACAAACTTTTTTGATCCACAAGGGGAATTATTTGAACACAGCAGTTCACACATCACAATATAATATAATAACAAAGAGTAAAAAATATAAATGGTAATAATAAATTCTAAATAAGTAGCAAAAAAGATAGAAAGAGTGTGAGTGAAATAAGACATAATTATATAAATGTATACAGTATGTACAAGTAAAAAAAAGTCAAATAAGTAATAAAGCTATGTATCAGCTATATACAAGAGGTCATAGGAAGACAGTGCAACTATGATATGATGATGGACAGGACATTAAGGTGAGTTGTTGTACAGTTGTAGAGTATTTTCCATTACATAAAGGTCAGTTGTTGTACAGTTGTATGCAGTATGGTATCATTGTAGTCCTGTATCTCTTACTGTTTGAGCGGAGCTGTAGGAGCCTGTTGGATAATGAGCTCCTCTGTCCCTCTAGTCTGGTGCAGTGGGTGAGTAGGAGTGTCCATGATGGAGAGTTTGTCCAGTGTCCTCCAGTGTCCCGAGACATTACGTAATACTAATGTTATGTAATGTAATATAATAATTATATGATCAGATATATAATTTTGGTTATTTTCCTATACTCAGGGGTCTGGACCACTCGGCTCATCCCCAAAGACAGAAGGTTTGGTCCGTTTGTGGGAGAGAAGAAGAAAAGGTCCCAAGTGACCAGTAATGTTTACATGTGGGAGGTAAGTCTGCACTGCCAGCTTCTTTTTCCTTAAACATATCTTCACTGAACCTAAAACAAGCTATACTGTCCCTCCCAACCTTACACATCTATAACTGGAATATATTCTCTGTAATGTTTCACTTTTACAACACAGATATGAAACTATTTACACTTTGTAGTAGTAGTAGCACCCCTGTACCTTGTATTTGTAGGTGTACTTTCCGAGTCGTGGCTGGATGTGTGTTGATGCCACCGATCCTCTGAAGGGAAACTGGCTGCGCTATGTGAACTGGGCACGCTCCAGAGAAGAGCAGAATCTGTTCCCTGTGGAAATCAACAGGGCCATATACTACAAGGCTCTGAGGGTCAGTACAACACACTGCACTGTAGTAGAACAAGTTACTGAAGAACAGCTTCTGTATTAGATATATAGCAGTGGAGACAAAACACCTTCACATCTTCTCTATTTATGAAAGTAAAGTTACATATTGTTGTTCACTGTTTATCAAAGCAGGTTAATCCACCACTGCAGACCACATAGCTTGTCTAGTGCATTTGGCAGCACCTTTGAAAAATAAGAAATTATACATAAAAAGCATAGAAAGCATATAGAAAGCATATATATATATACACTTCTAAATCTCCCAGGAAAGCACTGCACAAGCCTTCAAAACAGAACACCAATTTCTCACCTATGTTCATTGTATTTTAAACTTAATGAGACTTTTTTAGACACCTCAGACCTTATGCAGATGTTGCCCCAGTGTTCATAAGACAATTTTCCTTTTACACTGTCCTGTACCATTTATAAGCCTAGAAACACTGAAAGGAACTGTTTTAGAAGCATAAGGACTGTCCAAACTTTTTGTAGGCATTGTAACTTATTATAACCACATTTTTAGACAGCTGGGGTCATGTTGATGATGACTTTATTTTAGTGGCTGTAGTGGCACTGAATGTGTTTTTCTTTTACAGAGTACTATGGAGCTTTATAGTGACCACCTGCGCTCTGGAAGTAAATTTTCCAATAATTTTTCCCATAGACCTTTTCAAATGTTTAGAGTTCAAAGGCATTGCAGAGGCTTACCAGCTATTTGATAATTAAGATCCATAGCACTGTAGTTTTAAGCCCAAAAAGCAGATTTAAAACACAGTTACATGTGTTTCGGAAATGGCTTTCAAACTTTCATTTATTTATTTATTTTTCTAGTCTATGGGAAAAAATAAATGAGAAATTTTGTTCCGGAACCAGGAAGTGGGCGGCCACTGTTGAGCTAAAGTGATCAGTGTTGGCTGTTTAGTTTGCTGTGATGAATAAACCCCTTCAGCCAACAGTAATAAGGATGCGTTCACACTTGTCCTCAGGATTTGGACTTAGTTTGAGTGATAATGCAGATTTGGTTCGGATCCTGTTCTAGTCCTGGTTTAGTCCTGATCTAATCCAAGTTTATTCACAATTTTTATGTGGCATGTGAACACACAAAAAGTTGAGAGAAAACAATACCATTCTGCAACAGTGACTCAGGGTGATGGACAAGCGTCATAGGTTTTAAATGTACTCTGGGCCAACATTTTAACAACTTAATAATTAACTTTTAATAACTGTATGTAATAATCACTTAATAGAACAGTATAAAGTTTTGCCAGTACTTTAACTCCCACCAGATCTGAGCTGCTGCTATTATCACCATACAACACTGGGATGGGGTTGTAGACTGCCTCTTGCAGATTAGGGCGAAACTGTCAAATCCGTCGCCCCCCCGAAGACAGATGAGATGCACCGTGTCCCGAATACCGTGTCTGCCTCTGAGCAAAGCCGCGTGTGATTGGTGGCCCACCTCCTCCTCTTGTCTCATTGTTGCAGCCTATAGGGCCAGGCGAGGAGCTGCTGGTGTGGTACAGTGTGCAAGACAACCCCGAGGTAACAGCTGCAATAGAGGAAGAAAGAGCCAACAGGAAAAATTCACCCAGAGCGAAGCGAGGTGAGGCCTGCCCTTCAACTATTATGACATCTGGGCTTACTTTGGACCATTATGGTGCTTTATATTTAACCGAAACTGCGGCTAAAAGTGGGCTAGACTTATTTCTTTGTCGCTTGGTCGAAGTTACACGGCGCTAGCGAGTGTAGGAAGGCTAGTAGTGCAGGCTAATGTTGCGATGTGCTGCTGCCTACTCTCGACTTTGTTACTCGTCACTAAAGTCATCGCTACGTGGATATATAGCATCGTAAGCGTACATCTGCGTCTAATACATATTGATTTCACGTACCAGGGCTAACCAGGCATGTAAACAACTCTGAAGTGCATTTTCCTCCTCCTTTGCCAAAGGAGTTGTCGAGGATGTGACCTTCCTTGAGTTCCCAAAGCATGAAAAGCCATCCTTATGCGCGAGCCTGTGTATGTTAGATGATGGCCTAGCATGTTAGCCGACTAGCCAAGTGTCTTTTTTACACTTTCTGGACAATTAAAGCGTAATTACGGCGCAACACTCTGCTTAAATCATTATCGTAGATGTAATATACAGTTTATAAATGAATACGACTCAGTAAAGTAGTGTTGGTTTCGCGTAAACCAGTCTGCCGAGTTGTCAGACTTGATAAGGCTTAGCATTGGGCTACAAGGCTAGGTCTGCTGCACGTACCTCGGACATCTCGGTCTAATGTTGTCTATCTAACCCAAACAAAACGATAAACAGTTTATAAGGCACTTATTATTGTAATATTATCCGTATTTTATCATAACCTACATGGATAGCATGGCCTTATTACAGTCCAAAATGGGGGAAAATAACAATAATTATATTCTCTATCTAATGATGAAAATAATATACAAGAGTCGTCAAACATCAAAATAACATGCATTAAATGAATAGTTACAGATGCGTCAGGACACAGCCTGTAATAAACAGATTAACCTTTTTCACCATGAACTTTGGACATGGTGTTGCTTTGGAAAAAACTGATGGCATTTTAAAGGCCTCTTAACTCTATTTCCTTACAGCAAACCAAGCTTCACTATCTACATAAAACTAGTTTTTCATCGTAATTGAATGTAAATATTTTAAAATCCCCTTTGTTAGATGGAATTAGATCACATACTTATGTATCTGACTGTAGCAAACTTGCATCCAAAACAAGTAGGCCTAACCTAGTACTTGAGTGTTTTGTTCAGTTAATACTAAGTGTCATATAAGTTATTAAGAGATATGACATAGCTAAACATATACAAATGTCAAAGCCAACTTTTTACGTGCTATGATATAGCCTATTTTTAAGGCTAGCCATTGTTCCTTTTTCTGAAAGTATTCAATTGTAACACAATTTTCTACGGCTCAGAATGTGACTAAATTGCCATACTTTTTATTATAGGAGAAGTACACTGATACAAGCAATGCACTGTTAAAAGGTTTAACTGAGCTCCTTTATGTACCCTGTATGCAGAATGATGTAATCAAAATAATTAATTATGTAATTACTGTAAATACTCATTTCCGCAGGCTTTACATGTAATTATGTTTCCCTGACACCTTCGTTTACATTTGTATTGTGTGCTGCAGAGTGGTGCTCCCTAGTATGAATTGGGCTTTGTAGGCCAGGTCAGATGACCTTGTTGACACACTCCACCAATGATGAGGTGCCAGGGAAGCCTCTTGAGCCTGAGGCTTACACACCCAAAATAGTGTCCTGTTTATCAGACCGGCCCTGGGAGGCCATATATTTTTCATTGTTTTATATAAAATTACTAAGTAGAACAAACCCTTTATCTACACAACCTGCGTTAAAATTCCTCTTTATAGTAATAAACTATAGAGGTATCCATTTAGCTGGAGTATTTTAAGAAGCACTTGGAGCATCCTTCTTATTTTAAATGTTCCTCTTTCACCAAAATACTATATGTACCTAGCCTTGTAAGTTTGTTTTCTTGTCTGATTCTAAGTGATGTGTATTTGACTTGCAGCCAGAAGAAAGCTACTTGAGAGAGCCAGCCCGGCTGGTTTGGGTGGATTCAACAAAACGAGCACAACTGAGCCTAGTGCAAAGGAGATGTGGGATGGGGATGAAGGTATTTTTTATGCTTAGTAAAGACACACTTTATGGCATTGTGTGATTTTTTTTTTTTTTAACTATATGTATTCTTTCTTGTGTTTTGTAGGTGTCAATGAGGAGGATCAGAGGCCCTCTATAGAAATACAGGAAGCTAATGAAATTGCAAGCATGAACTACGGGGAAGTGGAGAGAGTCATGTCTGACAGAGGAAATGGACGGGAGGAGGAGGAAGAACAAATGGAGGAAGATGGTGATGAATTAGAGGAAGACGTCCAACAGAAAGATGCTCAGTATTCATTTGTGCAGGAGCAGCCTCGCCAGTCCGTGACCAGCGCTGACACCAATAAAGAAAGCCATTCGTTTAACACTGAGTCAACTCATTCAGGGCACAACGCAGACATAGATCCTGATTATGACCCTGACCTTGAGGGGGACCCCCAGGGCTCGTATCCCTGTCATCAATGTGAACGCCATTTTTCTACCAAGCAAGGACTGGAGAGGCACCTACACATCCACGCCACCTCCAACCAGCCCCCTCAAGTGTTCAAGTGTAGGTACTGCAGCAAAGCGTTTAGCTCACAGGTAGGACGGCGAAGACATGAGAGGAGACATGAAAACGGGTTTAAGAAAAAAACTGGGTCCTTGGCTGGAACTCCAAATCTATTAAGCAATGTAGCACAAACAAATGCATCAAGTTCTGATTTTACAAACTTGACTAGTCACTACACAGCCATAGGGACACAACTCACAGGGGCTGTTGTGCACAACATGGACATGCAGAAAAAAGAGGTAATTGTGGATCGGCCATTTGTTATGGATGAAAACGGGGAGTCAAAAGAACTGCATCCATGCAAATATTGTAACAAAGCATTTGGCACACACACCAATATGCGAAGACACCAACGCAGAATACACGAACGGCATTTATTACCAAAAGGGGTGCGAAGGAAAGGAATGCTACTTCAGGAGGCACAGCAACTCCCTGATGAGTCACCCAGCGCTAGTCCACCTCCGGTTTATTTGCCCAGTGCCGATACAGAGGATGAGACTGACAGGGATGACTATGCTGTTGATATTTCCAAAAACATATCTGATAATTTGAACTACTACATTGATGGTAAAATAGTCTCAACCAATGCAGCGAGTGGTTGTGATGTGATTGAAGTGGATTCTAGATCTGCTGCTCTTTTTGGTCTTGACACTGTTATAATCAGTCCAAGTCAGCTTACTCCGACACTAAAGGTAGAGCCTAGAATGAGCACAACAAAGCAAGTTTCTAATCTTGGTCAAAGTACAGGAAAAAGGAGGACTTCTACACCTCCTCTTGTCCCAAATCTAAAAGTAGAGACAGAAACTCAATCATTAACAGTTTGTCCGCCATCTTCTTCATCTTCGTCTTCCTCATCTAGCTTGTTAGTCGGAGGGCTGTTCCAACAGGACACATCCTCCTTTCAGCGCGAAAAAACTGTCTACCTTTCCCCTAAACTAAAACAACTACTTCAAACACAGGACATGCAAAAGTCCACCATCGCCGTCTTAACTGAAAGCCATAGACTAACCTCAGTCACACCCATTCAGGGGACTTCAGGTAGGTTTAAAAGACGAACCGCTTCTCCCCCTGCATCTCCACAGCTAAGCCCTCCTGGCAAAGTTGAAAAATCAGAAGTATTTAGTCCGTATTTGCTAAAGGTGCCAAAGTTAGAAAGCCAGAGCGTGTCACTAGTACCTTGCAGTATGAATGATAAAAAAGATGGAGAGCCCCTTGAAAATACCACTCAAGAGCATTCCTCATCTAATAGTGGTGGTAATACCTGCAATCAACAGCCATTAGACCTGTCAAATTCATACACTCGAAAAAGTGATAGCGGTATTAAAGTTCTTGGAGATGGTGCTCTAGATTTAAGTTGTCATCGCAAAAACAGCATCGAACCTGAATTAAAGGGAAGCCCGGGTCCTCAACCGCTAGTAAAAAAGCGAAAACCAAACACCAGCATGCTAGAAAAAGTGCTCATGAACGAATACGTAGGTCTTCCATTGCCCGGAGAGGAGAGCCCATCTGCCTTAGCCAATGTAATCCCTTCTCGCTCTCCAAATGTAACATCGGACAGTGGCAACCCCTCGCCGCCATCTTTGACCCCGGTAACGCTGAATCCATCTTCTCCCATGGGTGATGGTGTGACATCACCAACCCCGCCCCCACCTGTCCTGCCTACAATCCCCTCCCCGCCTCCCATGCCTAGCTCGCCCCTCTCGCAGCCTTCAGAGTTGACGGAATTGAGACCACTCCCCGTGCTCTCTCCAAAAATGTCCCCAAGATCTGAACAAAATGACACAGATGCTGTCACGTCAGAGGAGAAAGAAAAGAGCAAAGAAGACACTAAGAGACCAGAAATTGAAAATGGCCTCCAAGAAGAAGCATTAAAAAGTTCTCCCAGCTCACCAAATCTTTCCGTAGATCATGAACCCACCTCACAAGATGCATCTGCTGCTGTTGAAACTACAACCAGTTTGCTAAATGGAAAAATAGAAAGCAATACGGAAACTGTAGAAGAGAAATCTCCAAGTTTGGATAATGCAGATTCATCGCCTAAAGAATCTACCACGTCCTCTCCTGCTCCTGCCTCCCCCAAATCTCCCTCTCCAAAGTTAAAGATTTCCGATCACATCCAAATTAAAGAAGAGGCACAAAATGGTGTGGATGAGAATCCAGTTCCAAACCATGTGCCCGAGGATAAAGTCGATGCTAATGATGACTCCGATAAAACTGCTGAGGGGGAAAATGACTTGGATTACTGTAAGACTTTTGTGTGCAATGTTTGTGAAGAACCGTTCGACTCGATTAAAGAGCTTTCAGGACACATCGCTGTACACGCAGAGGAGTGGCCATTCAAATGTGAGTTTTGTGTTCAGCTTTTCACAGATGGCCCGGGACTTCTTGAGCACCGATCCACGCTACACGGGGTCGGTACCATTTATGTCTGCTCTGTTTGTTCGAAGGAGTTTGCGTTTCTTTGCAATCTCGAGCAGCATCAGCAGGATCTCCATCCCCAAATGACATGCACACACACTACTGTAGAAAGTGGTAAGCTCCGACCACAGAACTACACCGATCCAACCAGAGCCAAAGACGAGAGCAGCCCTTCCACACCAGCAAAAGAACAGGCAGAAGAAGTTCCTATAAATAATGAGTCAGAGAAAGAGGAGACTGATATGAACGGGAATCACACACAAAAAGAGGGGGAGGACCCCAACGAAGAGCTGTACACTACAATAAAGATCATGGCTTCGGAGGGAGGGAAGCCTAAAGGGCCTGATGTCCGATTGGGCATTAACCAGCACTACCCCAGTTTCAAACCTCCACCATTCCCCTATCACAGCCGCAGTCACGCCTCTGTAGCTTCAGCCACAAACTTTACCACTCACAACATCCCCCAGACCTTCAGCACTGCCATCCGCTGCACCAAATGTGGTAACAGCTTTGACAACATGCCCGAGCTGCACCAACACATACTGGCCTGTGCTAATGCTAGTGACAAGAAGCGATACACTCCCAAGAAGAATCCAATACCCCTCAAGCAGATTGTCAAGTCTCCAAATGGAGTGGTGTCGCCCACAGCCGCTGGAGCAGGGCAGGGGGCATTCAGGAGGATGGGCCAGCCAAAAAGACTCAACTTCAACGTAGAAACTGGTAAAATGAAAATGAATGCTCTGAGTAAGAAGAAGAACCAGCTGGTCCAAAAGGCCATATCACAGAAAAATAAATCTGCCACAAACTCAAAGACCTCTCCTGTGAAAACTGAGGAAGAGCAGGACTCTCCCAGTGCCAACATCTGCCCTCACTGCAGTCGCGAGTTCACATATGCTGCTAGCCTCTCCAAGCACTGTGTGAACTGCCCCATGAAGCCTGCGGGCAAGAAGGGCAAGAAGACAGCAGCTGAGGTGAAGAAGGAGCCGACCCCCGCGACTGACAAGAGCATGAGCTTGAGGAAGAAGAATGCAGACCCAGAGCCAGCTCAGACTGAGGCCGAGACCAAACCGCTGGGTAAGACCAGGGCACGCAGCTCCGGAGCAGCTGAACCAGAGCCCACCCCGACTATCAAAGCCAAAGGAGGACCAGGAAGACCCAAGAGACCCGCCTCCTTCCCAGAGTCTAAATCACCCCCCACAAAGAAGGCAAAGAAAGGCTCACCTCAGTCTGCCCCCGTTGCACCCGCCGACACCCCTTCCGATCCCGCACCGAAACCTGCCTCCAAGACTCAGCCCAAAGGCAAAGAGGCACCGCCCAAGAAACCAGCCGAGTCCAAGTCCCCTTCAGTGAAAAAGGAACGTTTCTCCCTCCGAAGCCGAACAGGAGGTCCCATCACCCGTAGCTCTCAGGCCACAGCCGCGTCTGCCCCGGGACAGGCCGAGGAACAAGCCAGCGAGGAGTCTAAAGACACTCAGGTGAGATAATATAAACTTTATTTCTGCTTCTACTGATCATGTTTTGACAAAATTTGGTGAAAGTTGTACTTTTGTGTTGATCTTGATGATAAAAAGGAATTACCAGTTACCAAAAATCATTAATCTTACAGCATTTGGCAGAGCGATAAGCTTATATTATCATTTCCCATTTAATCATAATAACATGGCAGGTGTTAAAATTTACTGATAATGAAAAATAAATGCTAATTTAAAGTTTGAAGTCATAAAGTAACGCCAGAAAGCAGATGCCAGCTGGAAGAGCATTTTGAGACTAATTAGCCTGAGAGAAACACATTTAATTGGTAATAGGTCAGCATCATGACAGTTTAAAAGGTTTCTGTGTTGTATCAAGTTTAGACAGTAATTAGCATTGATTAGTGTCTGCCTTCAATGTATCTGTTGTAATTTAAAACTTAACTGCAAAATTTCTGTTGACTAGTTGCAATTTAACTTCCAGATGTCAACATATAAACAATTGTGATTGTTGCAGCATAAATATTTATTAAGGCTTTTGGATTTCATAATATTACAGACACCCTAATGTTATAAATATGTAAATCTTGTGTGTTTTCCAGGAGGTGCCAGTGAAATGAGAGCCATACGGATGCATTCTTCTGGAGTTTGGTGCTTCTTCTCTGTCAAAGCTCTGGACTGACCCTGACAGCACAGAGGGGGGCAGCTGTGGCCTCATTCACTTGAAGCAAAGTGAAGTTGAACTCTACTGCCTTGCTGGATTTAAGGGAGGGATCGCTCTGCATCTTCCAGTTATCTCCTGAATCGAACTGAGCCTTGTTTTTATAGCCAGCCTGCAAAAAATTGAAAAATTACGTGTAAATGACAATGGATTCTTAATATATACAATTTGTGTCATTACTGGACCCAAAACAGTAATACTAGGGCTCTGTTATGTTTGAAAGCTGATCTATTGCAAATGGCAATCATGTATTATTTAGAATTAGGGAATCCTGTATTCTGTATTTTCCTATTTGATTGTTTAGATTCTCCGATATTTCCGGATATGTCTCTTAAAAATGCATGTGCGAAGTAGACTGTACACTAGATCAAGCGTTTTTTTGTGTTTTTTTTCTATGTCTTCTTCTCGACACTTCAGTTTGTACAATTATTTACAGTATAAATAATAATGTTCTGATTTAATTTTCTGTAGTTATTTTATTGTAGATGATGATATTGAATTTTGTTTGGCAAACAAACTTGTAAATGGCAGTAATTTACTGCAATAATTGGTCCTCAGGAACACTGTACATTAGTGCGAGGGTGAATGATGTGGGTGCTGTGTGCTCCTTTAGTTTATACAGGTCGTCTCTAGCTCTGACTCACACATCGTAGTTTGACAGCTGTTTCAGTTGTAGAATAATGGGAAGTATTCTTCCCATTAGTGGAGTTTGTCTCGACAACAATTTAAAAGTCCCTCACCTTGCCCTGTGTTTTACAGCACTTTAAACCAATCTGCCAAAATGTGTCGCCCGATCTTTTTAATTGGCTTCATTAAACAAAAGAGGAATGTATCCTGGTCTGTGGTTAGCAGACTCTGTACTTTGCACCAATTTGTGCAAATTATCCCAAACAACTCCTTATGCCTTCTGACAACATGTAATAGTTGTCAACTCCATGAGATGCGGAAGAACCTAGCCTGGTCACTCAATCGGGTTTTTAGTATTGCGCACAAACAATTTGTTTTGCCCACTTGCGGTGGAGCAATTTAACGCGACCCTTAAGTCTTAATAAGGCCTGCTAAACCAGTGCAACTTGCAAAACATGCAACCCACTACAGACACTAAGCATTAAAATGGAACTCTATTGTGGTTAAGTGGTGGAGAGTTTCAACTGTGAAGACCTCTAAATTGGACATGTTTCCAAATCATAAAAAGTACGACCAGTCAGGCAAGAAAATATAATTTGCCAATTGCCAATTATTGCGAAATGCGGCAGTAACACCTTGAAGGAAGCAGTATTTGTTTGACTATTTTACAATTACAGTAATATATTTTTGAGTCAAACTGTTTTTCCTATCCATACCCTTTTGTCTGACACTAACCTGTTGCATGGAAAGTCCACAGAACATTTGTGTAATCCCAGCAGAGACTCCTAAGCTTTTCAGAATCAAAATGTATCAAAGATGAACAAGACAAATTCTCAATGACCTCAAGGGAGATGTGGCTGTAATTGACATAATAAAACTTTTTTCAGATTGTGTAAACCTGTGAGCAATTTGATTTGTGATTTGATACATTCTTATTTTATTGAAATCATGGTATTTTGAGATGTAATTTTGACCAAGGCTCTGTTTATTTGATTGCAGACATTTATAATAAATAACCCTATAGTAATGTATTCATGGGGTTCAGCTTCTGGTTTATAGGAAGACTTTCACCAATTCAAAGAACATATTTTGTTTTGTTGTTTTTTTGTTTTAAATTGTGAATTGCTATGGCAAGTGTAAATTTTTCATCACTGAAACCCATGGATAGCAATTGCTATTCACTTATAATTGAATCACTGGACATAGGTAAAAAAAAAAATATATATATATATATATGTGTGTGTGTGTGTGTGTGTGTGTAAGCTACTTCACTGAGTGAGTCTATTTCTGGGTTTCAGATTACATAAAATTCCATAGGCCAGTAATATTTAATACAGATGAGGGGCAGCTACAAGTTGTAAAGTTTTGCTTTTTTTTAATGTATGTAGCAGGTTTAGGGTTTAGAAATGATCAGATTCATCATTTATGAATTTACATTTTGGATATTACTTCTTGAAAAAACATCTTTTATTTTATTGAGAACAGAACATTAAGGTCAAGTCAAGGTCACTGGTAGACCTTGCTGCTTATAATACAATCTCAGCTGCCTTAGGTTCTATTACATGCTTTATTGATGGTTGTACCAAAAATATTGATCCATAAATCATATTGTAAAAATGACACCTAATCCAATCCAACTTTATAGGCTAGTTCACATGAGCCCCATCAAACTTATTTCACCTTCGGGACAGAATCACAAGATCAAAATGAAACGTCAGATTTTGGTCATTATTTTAAGACTTTGACAATGCAGATCTGAGCTGATGATTTTTAAACATCTCTCTTTATAGTTAAAGGACACTGAGCCCATTTGAGTGTAATAAAGGTGTGATGATGACATAATGACATTCAAAGCAGAGCCTGTGAGTCAGTGAACGCTCATGTTGTTCAGCACAGCTCCCATCACAGATACAAACTGCCATTTCAAGTCTAACTTCCCTTTTGCTGCATTAAATAGTTTTATTAATGTACAATAAATCCTTTAAAGGGCCAATTTTTGGCTATTCTCTGATCTTGTTATAATGCTGTTTCCCCATCATAAACATACCTGGAGTTGTGTTTTGTTTCAACACAGAAACCTTGCATATTTAGGCTGAGTTCTTCTCTCAAACAGAAAACACTCTCAGTCTGTGATGTCATGTGGTGATACAGGAAGTGATCCACTGTGTTTTTAAACTTTAAACTATCTACTGAACAAAAGGTAAAAGGTAGCTGGTGACTTGAAAACTACCACTACATGACATCACAAGGTGGAGCACAGAATGAGCTTTGGAGATGCCTGACTAATAATAAAGCATTACTCAAATGTGTAAATGAAACAAAACACAGCTCCAGGTATATTTTTGAGGAGGTAACAACATTCTAACAGGGCTTACAGCTCACAAGAGTCAATTTTGCATAATATAGGCCCTTTAAGTTGTATCATGCTGAGACTGTTAATGACTATTGCATAAATCATACTGTTTAATCATACAGACTTGTATAGAATTTGGGTTTTATTTTTCATCGGGGTTGTCTGTAGTCATTATTGCACTTCTGTGTATTCTGTTTTTGCAGTATTGATGACATATATTATGTATTACTGCTGACCCTGTGAGCAGTATTAAATACACAGGATTACATTGTTACAGATAAGCTACTAAATGTGTTGTGTCCTTGTCCGTTGGGTAACAGATGTTGCTTTAGTATGGTTGTGGTGTGGGTGATTGGTGGTAGTCAAAGAGGCAGCTGTCAGTAATTGGCAGCCATGTTTTTGTCAGTTATCTCCAGGGCAGCTGTGGCTACAGTGTGGGACCAATATCAATAACTACTATGTTAGAAAGGAAAACATTTGTTGCAACAGGAGGGGCATCTAGCCTAAAAATATGATAAATCACCTTGCGTCTGCTAAGCCAAAATAAACTAGTATGCTAAGTTGAATACGCACTTTCTGTTATTTCCCTGAGCTGTATCCTTTTCATCCCAAAGCCACATGACCCAGAGTTATTCACACAGCAGAGGTTGTCCACATTGTATCCTGGCTGTGTCTCTTGTACTTGATTTTAAATGGAGTTTTAGCCCCCTGCTCTGACCGGGCGTTAGGTCTGCACTGGTGGGACGCGAGCTCTCAAGGTCTTCTCTATTTTAGTATTTCAATCCGGCGCTCATCCATCACCCTCACCTGCAATGTCCCATCAAACTTGAATAACATGTTCTTAAAGGGACAGGACGTATTTCAGGAAACTATTGAATCTGTGTGTTGTTTTTGGTGTGGCCTGTGAATAAACTGACAGTAGCATATAGGCTTAGTCAGTATTATACAAGTATTCATTCATGACTCCATCACAGACTAAACTACCCCTATAAATAACTACTTTAGTATGAGAATTACTGCAACTGCTATTATTGTTACTTCGCATGTTACTGCTATAGATGAGATAGGTGTGGTTCTCAAACATCCCAACCTGTTATTTAAGTTAAGCACTTTTTATAAACAGTAATATAAAATAAATTACTGTAATTTAAAATGACATCCCTTTCCCTTCTTTTAATAATAGCACAATAATGTTGGGGGACTAAGATTATTATATTAGATGGTTTAGAAGATACAATAGGGACAGCAGAAAAAATACTGCACTACTATTGTTTGATTGCAAAAAGTTTCTACAAAGTAAATTACCTGAATATAAGTATTTTTCAGTTGTGTATCAAAAGCAGTGTTGATTTCAGTATATTCAGTAGTAGCCATATACCTGCTACCTCTGCAACTTTTTATTTTGTATTTATGGATGCACTTCAAGTACAGTAGTCAAGGTTTTGTTTGCTATATTTTTTTTTCATTTCTAGACACAATGCTGACCATAGACGGTGTTTTATCTACATTCAGTCTCCGGTGCTGAATATTATGCATGAAAGTGAAAGTGGCAGTTGGTTTTAGCTCTATAGCACCCTCTCTTCTCGCAGTGGACAGGGCTTGTTTATTCTTTGGTGCCATGATGTGTTTTATGATCTCATATGTGTGTGTGTGTGTGTGTGTGTGTGTGTGTGGAGACAGAGGATAGGCCGAGAAGCGCTGTGCTGTGCCGTTCCTGTCAGGGTGAAAAATCTCTGCACTCTCCGGTGATTGCACTGTACAGGCCAGCCACCATTCATAAAAACGCAATTGAGTGCAGCTATAGCTCCAGCTTTGAAAATAAATACACAGATGGAAAGAGGGAGAGCCATCTTATGAGGAGAGGAATGCTGGGTGTCACTTATCGCATTTTAATTACCCACAGTCAATATTTAGTCTTGCCTGTGCCTCCATGTGGCTCGGTGGTAGGGCAGTAACACATGTACAGAACTGACCTCTATGGTGTATGTTATGGGTGGTTGGTTAAATGCTTGTGAGCTCACAGGCCAATTTTTGAAGGGACCATTCACTTCTAACTTCAGCTCATATTAAAGGTGCACTTTGCTGGTGGAGTTTCCGTCACCTACTCTTTACTTATTGCTTCTATTATTGCTTTTCCTGGAATTGTCCCTGCACTGTATGGCATTAAAGTAATCTACCAGGCTTTTATTCAATTACAGGTGTTTTCATTGCCAAAACCCTTGTAGGCTCACCTCGCAACAGATCTGAGCTGTAACTTGGCCTTGTATCCAGGAAGATTATTAAGAAAAGTTCATGCCATAGGCCAATGGAAGATTCCAGACAAAGCAATGCCACAGTGATGACTTAATGACTATTTGCACTTTACTTGTGTTACTTCATTGCATTCTCTTGTTATTCCTGACCTATTGACACTTTACAGCTGATTTCATCAACATTCCTTGGGGGTGTGAAGCTAATTGGAAGCACTGCTCTATCTGAGGCTTGTTAGACTTTAATCTGAGCTTTATTTTAACACAATCTGACCAGAAAGAGCTGACTTGATTGGAATTACTTGTAAGCTGATTTGTGCTGTTAAACAAGTCTCTCACAAATAAAATTACAGTCACAAAGTAGTATTAGCCACCTGTTTTTCAGTTAATCACTCTCACCTGAAAATCAAACACCCAAACAAGACCATGAATGCTCATATTCATCACAGTCTCCTCAAAATTTGTTATTTAAATCAAGTTGTTTTCAGACGATATTAAAACTTTTTGTCTGTTTTTGCTAATGTGTGCACTGTGTTGCCATGGTAACTGCTGCACATTCTATCAATAAAAATACATGTACAACACCCCATAACAATCCGTGTATCATTCGTTCACTCATTTTTCAAAATAAAAGCAAAAATAAGAAAAAGAAAAAAACTGCTATTTTCTTCATTATTTGTCTCCATAACCAAAATGAAAAAAACAAGTAATGATTCATTTTTTCCGTTTTCGATTCTGTGTTTAAATAAATAATGGAAAAAACGGATAACGGCCGTTTCCTGTTTCTGTGACTTAAGTCTTAAGTCTTAAACTGCGATGTCGGATTTTAGCGCCGCATACGGCCTGAACCAGGACTGAACCAGGACTGAACCAGGACTAAACCAGGACTAAACCAGGACTAAACAGGACTGAACCAGGACTAAAACAGGACTGAAACAGGACTGAACCAGGACTAAACCAAGACTAAACAGGACTGAACCAGGACTAAACCAGGACTGAACCAGGACTGAACCAGGACTGAACCAGGACTAAACAGGACTGAACCAGGACTGAGACCGGGACTGAACCAGAACTAAACAGGATTGAACCTGAGACCGGTTTAGTCCTGGTTTAGACCTGGTTTAGTCCTGGTTTAGACCTGGTTTAGTCCTGGTTTAGTTCTGGTTTAGTCCGTATGTGGCTCACAAGTTCGACATCGCAGTTTAAGTCACAGAAACAGGAAACATTATCCGTTTTTTCCATTATTAATTTAAACACAAAATCAATAACTGAAAAAACGAATTGTTATATGTCTTTTAATTTTGGTTTTGGAGACAACTAATGAAGAAAATAGTTTTGGTTTTATTTTGAAAAACGAATGAATGAATGATACACAGATTCATAATGCACCAAAATGTAAATATATTCCAGGCTTTAATAGTCTACTCTAGTTTTCATGCTGTTCACAATATGAATTAATAACCAATGTTACATGCTCCAGTAGTACTGCGTGTTTCTATTTCCAACACTTCCACATTGAATGGTATTGACTATCGCCTCTATCACATGCTCTCTATATTATTCATTTTGCACCATCTCCCTCATATACCCTCTGTGCCCTGACTTCCTTTCAAAGAGAATACCATTAAAAGTCTATGACGGAGCAGGCACGCCAGGTAACTCGGAGGTTAAAAGTACCTTGAATCTTTATTATTATTCAAGAAATGTCAGTTTTTGTTCGCCTTTCCTGAAGAAGCACTGGAAAATGTCAAATGTGAAAGTACATTTTAATGGAACTGCTCGAGAAAGCGCTGGAATAGAAGTTTAGTAAATACAGCGTTAGGTCTGCTGTCACAACTAGCCCTACTACTCATGCTCCTTCTGTTATTGCACATTCAATAGCTGGAAATGATATCGTTACCAAGGCCACTGCTGACAATACCTGCTTGCGTTTGATCTCGGAAGCTAAGCAAGACCGGGCGTGGTTAATACTCAGATGGGAGACCGCAAAGAATATCAGGTGCTGCAGTGAGGTGGCGGAAATTGTCGCTGTGTCCCCAGGCAAAACACTTCACCCATATTGCTTTGCATGAGTTTGGTGTGTGTGTTTGCAGGTGCTGGTGGCGGTCGACAGTAATGGTAAGAATACTTTGAAAATGTATTTATTTACAAAACACTGTATATCTGAATTAAAATGTATTTTGTAACATGTTCTGTGTGTTCTGGTCCAGTCGGAGTACTATGTTCTGAACACTTCGGAATAAAAGACGCTTTGGGTGTCTTGAAAGGCCCAATCCTTTATTAACACTGTTATTAAAGGGACAATTCGGAATCTTGGACATAGGGTCTCATTTTCTAGTGAGCCAGAGTACTGGAGACATGTGGAGACACTTTTTTAAAAATTCCATTCAGTCCTTGTATTTGTAGAGGTCTCTGGTGCTAGGCTAGTGCATGTCAATGGCCATAGTTAGCCTGCCACTAAAAAGAGTCTTATCCACTCCAGAAAACACTTGAAGCAAAACTATTATTATGCCAGATTGTCGATGTAAATGTCTGTGTTGATAAAATAATGTTTGAAACAAAACTAACCCTGCATCGCATGAATCGTCGCATGATGAGGGACTATTTCCTCATATATCAGTCCGCCGCTGCCAAGCTTTCTATCAGGAAGTACAACTCGCCGCTGCTGCTCAGACATAAATCCTTCAAATGCAAAGTTGGTTTTACTTTTAAATTATTCTATCGACACAGACATTTACATGGACAGTCTGGCGTAATATTAGATTTGCTTCGGGTGCTTTGTGGAGTGGGTAAGACTGTTTTTAGTGGCAGGATAACTATGGCCATTGACATGCACTAGTCTAGCACTAGTGACCTCTGCAAATAAAAGAAATGGATGGAATATTTAAAAAAGTGTCTCCACGCGTCTCCAACACTCCGGCTCACTAGGAAATGACGCCCCATGTCCAAAATTTCAAACTGTCCCTTTAAAAAGCATCAGTTAATACCGAAACAGAGAAAGGAGTGGTTACATCAATAAACTTCATTACTACTTTTATAAATCAATGTTGCTGGAAGAATAGGCCCACCCGCTGGCATTTGAAACAATCCCCAGATAAAGATTGTAATTTACAGGATGTTCAAAAAGTTCTATTTCAGCTAGTTCAGCTTTTCGAACTGCTGGACCTCACACTTAACAGTCCCATTGCCTGTCTCTTTTCTCTCTTTCTCAGCAGTAGCAGCAGCAGCAGCAGCAGCATTATAGTCTTGGCCCAGTGTTGTGAGGATGTCTGCTGAGAGGAGATGTACTTCCTGTAAAACTCACGCTGTTGTTGTTGTGCTTCAGAGGAAATGGGCCGTTAAACACAGAGCACGGAGCAGAGGGCTGATATTACAGGGTGTGGAGAGGACCTGAGCCACTGTCCAAAAGTGTTTGTGTCTCCGGAGGGGTCGCCATGACAACAGCAAGCACAAAAGATAAACGTGGATTCAATGGTCGGAGAGGTATTTAGTAACATGTGAAGTCACGTGAGTTTTTGTTATTGTGTTTCAAGTCATTTATTTTACACTCATAATAGTTATTAATTGAAAACTTGACTTTGGTTCCCCTTGACTAATACTATCTAGTCTAGTGTATTTAAAATGCATAAATTAATCTTTTGTTTTAAAATTAACGGATCACATACAAATTCTTTGATGGGTGGCTTTTGACACAGGCTTTAAGCCTAATCAAACTAGACAAATCAAACTACAAGATGGATTGACAGCCTATTGTAAGATACTAGATAAAAACATGTTATCAAGCTTTCAAACACTGCAAAGAAAATATAACTTGGAGAAAAGTTATTTCTTTAGATACTTGCAATTAAGACAATACTTATCTTCAAAGGTGGCAAAAAAGGTGGAACTAGAATCCATTGATTTAATTAATCTGGTATCGCAAACATACTCTTAGGGATGTGCATCTGTTATTTCTAAATTTTACCGTAGCCTAACAAATAGTAGGAGAAATTCAACTGACTATATTAAAAAACGATGGGAGAAAGAAATTAAACAGATATATCAACCGAACAGTGGGGAAACATACGTGAAACTGCTCACTCAACTTCTTGTTCTGCTTATTGGCGAGAATTCAGTTGGAAAATCATAATTCGTTTTTTCCATAACTCCTAAGCAACAAATGAGTTGGAACCCGAACAGCTCTTCATGTTGGAGGGCTTGTGGAGATAATGAGGCTCACCATACCCACATATTTCGGACCTGTGTGAAACTGAAAACATTTTGGAAACATGTTGGGTCAACAATTGGACAAATAGCTGGTTTTGCTATTACTCAAAATGTGATGACGCTATAGATGGGGGATATATCTGATGTTAGATATCTATTGAAAATCCATTGTGCCTGTGCAAAAAAGGCAAATACACATAAATAGCTTTAACCAGATCCACCTATGCTAGAAAACTGGTTAAAAATAATTGAAGAAACTCATAAAATGGAACATCTGACATACATGCTAAGGTTTCACGCTGATGTTTATTCTGCAAGATGGGCTAAATGGTCTAAATATCACAGTGAAGTTTAGTTAATGGCGACAAAGTGACAAAAAAATAATAATAATCTTTTGTTTTTGAACTCCAGTATTGTAGGTCAAAATGTGGAGGTTGATGGCACAGACTGTCAACCTCACTTCTGTATGTCAACCCCAGGGCAGCTGCGGCTACACTATTCACAGCCAAGTATGAAGGTAGCACTTTGAGAAACCTCAGCAAGTCTGTAAGGTTCAATACAAGAACATTATTACGGTATTATTATTACCACTTACTGCAAAAAGCTTGACCTACTGGGCTTGACGCATGAGATGAAAATTATAGGGGAGATAAAAGGGGTAAGAAGCAACTTGTGAAGAAAAGTAAATAGCATGAAAGTGGCAATAAAAACCTCTGGACTTGAAGATATATGAATGTGAATTAGGCTGCTGGTTTGCGTTAATGAATGTAATTTCTGGAACACCCTCTCATCCACTGTTACTGCGTCCTTGGGCAAGACATTTCAGTTGGTTCACATACAAAAAGTGGTCAGTTAGGTAGATAGGCATTGTAAATTCGTCGTGACAGCTCTTGGTTTATACAGCAGCAGCTTGTGGTCCCTTGTAGCTGCTTTTGTTTTGTGCCACCGTTAAAATAAACGCTGTTTCTTCTGTGTCTATTTTCTACTCCAATTTTTATCCCCAGCGAACTACTTTTTCTTCTCAAGTTAGCAGCATGGAACCACTCTCTGCTCCAGCTCAACTTTTCACTTTAGATATCTTCTTTTTCTTTGTTATTTTCCTCTGCACTGCAAAATAAAGCACCGTACTTTCCTGGCGCACCGTACAGTGGCGTCCCGGGCTCTTGAAGATGAATGGCTGCTGCGATTTGCATTGGGGTGTGGTGCCGTACCGAGGGAGAGGAGGAGAGTTACGCACGGTTAATGTGAGCGAGCCAAAGATGTAACTGCTGATGTAGCCTACTCTACTGCAAACACGGACTGCGCTCGCGGGAGGGGGCGAGGAGGGAGAGACGGAGAGAAGGAGAGAGGAGAGAAAAGAGGACGCACGCACTCGTATCATATCAGAACACTACATTACACTACACCATCGCAAAACGGAGGAGAGCGCGCCGACTTCACCTGCTCAACACTGGCTGCGTGCGACCCTCCGGCGTAGTCGTAGTCCCTTGATGCCAGCGCGCTCAGAGACTACAACGGGAGATCAGAGAGGTAGCCTACAGCGCTATTCTGGCTCTACCAAAATGCGCTTTCACGATCACACAACTTTCTCTCTAACGTGCTGACAAGCGCGGTCACACCCCCTCCCGTTATTTTAGCGCGGCGGAGTAAGAAGAAAGGTGCTATAGTGCGTTAGTGCCAGCGACATCGGGACGGTCCAAGTCGAGACCTTTGAGTAAGTAGCCTCAAATAAGTAGTTTAAAATGTGTAGTTGTGACCTTCTAGTGCTGATACGATCCGTTCTTTCGCGCAGCCATGGAGGACACGCTCACTTGCGGACACGGCACGTTCTCCCAGGTGTTCGGACGTCAGGGGCAGCTGATGCAAGCCAGTGAGTACCACAGCACGTCCGTGTGCCTTTACGCGTCAGCAAAACTCGCACACAACATCAGCACTACTCCAAAGCTGTTTATTGTTTTTATAGCAAACGTTATTCAGCACTTTTGTCGTGATTTACGCTGAGACTAAGTGAGTCCGTCCAATAGTTGTAACATTTAAAGGTGCATTGTCACTTTTCTGTGAGGCTTCCAGTTGCTTCTCTTCATGGATATGTTAATTACGCTGCCTGACTGTTCCACAGTATGGCACTAACTATTATTATCTTGATTTACTCAGTTGTTTCTATCGTTAAAGGACCCACAATGCACAATTTTTTATTTCTTAAAAAAAAAAAAAATCTACATTATAATGTTATTTCCTTGTCAGAAACATTGGCTACCTGGAGTTGTGTTTTGTTTCATTCACACATATTTAACACAAAGGTTGCATATTTAGGCTGAGTTCTTCTCTTAAGAAAACACTCTTCCACCTTGTGATGTCATGTGGTAATACAGGAAGTGCTCCACTGTGATTTTAAACTGCATACTAGAATCACGAGAATCATTTGGATAATTTCAGCCATAGAATTGCGTATCTCTACTTAACAAAAGGTAAAAGGAGCTGTTAACTACCATTAAATTACAGCTTCATGACATCACAAGGTGAAACAGAGCATTTTAAGCTTTGGAGATGTAGACAGAATTATTCAAATAGGACAAAAGGATTCCTCAAATGAATGAAACAAAACACAACTGCAGGTATGTCACAAGAGTCGATTTTGCGTAATATAAGACCTTTAAAATTCCTGCATTCTTACTGTGAGCGGGGTCGCCTCTCCACAGATCTGACCTGTAACTTGGCCTGGTAGCGTCATTTGCTTGTCACCATTAATGCCATGCTGCGGAACATTCCAGGCAATGCAATAACATCTCCATGGAGCAGGTGGCGTACCCTCCATTAGAAAAATCACATAGTGTACCTTTAATAATGAAAGCGTTTTAAAAGTAAGTAGATCGTTGTGTCAGGACTGGTGAGCATGAGGGTTAAGTTTTGTAAGAATCTGTCAGCGTTGTGTTTTCGCTGCTCAGAATTATTCATGATTTGTGCATGTATGCAAAAGTCTGTTTTTCATTAGAGATGCAGCAGGCTCTCGGAGGTGGCGTCTCTGTGACAAGTTGCTGAGGAGCAGGTTCACGCTGTAGCACAGGCTATTGGTAGATGCATAAATAAAACAGGTGGGAATTGAATACTCGTGTAAAGATACAGTATTTCAACCTGGAGGGACTCACACACAAAGAGAAAGTATTAGTAGTTTTACAGAATGAGTTATCTGTGACACTCAGACTCCGACAGAAGACATTGCGATGAAGGGCGTGGCCAGTTAGTGACATATAGGAGATGTCTTTCCCCCAGGGTCTGGACACTGGAGGTGGTAGAGGTAAAGCAGAGGAGAGTGACAGGGAGGATGAGAAGAGTGAAGAGGACGACGAGAGGATGAAGAGAGTGAAGGGGACGATGAGAAGATGAGGAGAGTGAAGGGGTTGATCAGAGGATGAGGAGAGTGAAGGACGATAAGAGAATGAGGAGAATGAAGGGGACGATGAGCGAATGAGGGGATGAGGAGAGTGAAGAGGACAAAGAGAAGATGAGGAGAATGAAGGGGACGATGAGCGAATGAGGGGATGAGGAGAGTGAAGAGGACAAAGAGAAGATGATGGGAGTGAAGGGGATGATGAGAGGATGAGATGATGAGGAGAGGAAAGGGGACAATGAGAGGATGAGGAGACTAAAGGAGATGATGAAAAGATGAGGAGGAGAGAGAAGGGGACAATGAGATGATGAGGAGAGTGAAAAGGACGGTTAGCAGATGAGGTGAGTGAAAGGGATGATAAGAGGATGAGGAGAGTGAAGGGGACGATGAGAGGATGAGGAGAGTGAAGGGGACGATGAGAAGATGAGGAGAGTGAAGGGGACGAAAAGAGGATGAGAAGCAGCCGTTCATCTGCAATAGGGGTTTAAATTGGAGCTGATTGGACGAGGAGAAGGTGTGGGGAGGAGTGGGGAGGAGTATTTGGAGTGAGGTGATGAAGGCTGAGGAGCGGGTAAACTCTGGAGAAGGTGTGAAGTGGACTGGAGCAAAGTTTGATCTTCCAGGCAGAATTTTACTACCTCCATGTGATTTTCATACTTACATACTGTGGCTGTAAGATGAATGCAGTGGACGGGAACTACCCAACATCTGACGACTGAATGTGTGACCAGTGTTTGAAGAAGCAAATGGCTTAGAATGGCAGCCACTTTTCTGTCTGCCCCAGGGCGGCTGTGGCAATGGAAACATCACCGAGTGTAGGCCTGTCACCATAACGACTGTATCAACTTATTGTTCAATATATGAAAGCTGGAACAATACATTTTGAGGCTTTTTTTGTATGTATCCTTTTTTTTGCAACAGAGATTTTGCCATTTTTATGTAATATGGTAATGTTTGAGCTGCAGAGGGTAAAATAAATAACTTCTATTGCTAATTATTTGTTCATTCTGGTAGTTATTTGTTGCAGCTCAGGCGTTTTAATGATACAGTCTAAATTAAAATGGAATTATCCTGCTTCCTTGTTAACGTTTTAGAGGCATAATTTCAATTATTTTCAATATTATCGTTTAACGCAGTATTTCTCTCTAGAAATATATTGTCCTTCAAAATCTGTGATGTGACAGGCCTAACCGGGTGTGCCCTGTGACCAAGTAATGAAGATAACTTGGTATTGTAGCAAGTAATGTAACAACCTTATACTAAATGAATTTGCTAGAAGTCTAAACCAGAGCCAGAGTTTGAGATTGAAAACCATATCTATCATGCACTACATTTGACTGGCCTGTTCGGTGTACCGTGCATAATTTACTGCCATCCGGTATCCATGCTGCAAAAGATATACGAGTTCTATCTATGTGTATTATTGATAAAAGTCCCTTACTGCTATGGTGGAAAACTGCACGGGCAACCAGTGTGTGCTTACTCATAGTCTGTCTGTCTGGCTTTTTCACTTGACCCTGACTATTGAGGATTATTGATCGTAAGGCTGGTCTAGTGTAATATTCATACATTTCTGTTGACATAGAGGGCACACATGCTAAATATTTCAGTGGAGATTTTATCAATATATGCTGCTCCATGAAGAACACAACCTTGAGATCTGCTTAAGTGAGGTGTTATTATGTAATACGCACTCTGAAATACACACTTATGCACACACACACTCACACACACACACACATGTTGGATTTACATATCTTACTGGGACATTACATTGGAGATAACCTTAACCCAGCCTGCTTCTAGCCTGCTTAAATTAAATGTAGTATATGTGTAGCTGTAGATGGGGTGATTGATTGGGCAAGAATTGAATTCACTGAGGGATTATCTGTGGCTGCCCCTGATCTTAATCACAGTCATTACTTACTTAATGCTAACTCAAACCCTAATCTTCATATATTTTAACCAATTTCTAACCTTTGAATTAGGTCAGCAAGACAGATCATAATCGACTCGACATAATTTGAGTTGCAATTATCAAATCCTAAAAGCTGCAATTATTTAGATAATAATGTTTGGTCTTTTTGTAGAGAAACTTTGTATTGTACTTATAGTTTAAACCTCCACAAAGACATTCAAAAAAGTTCACCTTTATGTCGTCTCTCAAATGTTAGTGTTCTTGGAGCTGTTTACAAAGTGCAATTGCAATACATTATTTTATATCGTGCAGCTTTACTTTAAAGGTAACCTTGTACAGTATAATGGTTTCTCACGATATTTGTGTGTTCACAAACTCACGAGAATCCATCTTGAGGTGCTCCCGCTGTATGGTTTAAATTCGTTCTGAGCAGTAGTCGGCCCAATCACAGCGCTTTTATACACATGGGGAGGTGTTTCAGGCAAGATGATGACAATCCCAGGTACCAGATCTACACGGACCAACAAAAAAAACAAACACATGGCAGCACCAGTGGACGTTGATGGTTTATGGACATCTTCCCTCTTCAGAATGACACTTGTTTTGGTTTAACCTGGTGCAAGTTGGATACATCATTTTGACAGGTTTGCCGTGATTGGCTAAATAGAAACTGGTGGGTGTGGTTTGCTCAGTCAGCTCGAGGCATTCTGCTGCAAGTCTAGACGCTTTTAGTGAGAGCTGTTCCAGTGATACACATAACAATCTGGTGTGAGGCAAGTATCTTTAAAGGTGCACTGTGTAACCTTTCTTAGGGAGGGTTCACCACATGCTAGTCTCCATGTAAATGTACTTAACGTTTCAGCCTGGCATATTTCATAGTGAGTTCAATAGTAGTTCACAGTAATTAAACTTATCTATCTCCATGGAGGCAAGCAGGTCAAGGTACACATCAGTTCTGTGGAGAGGTGGACATAATCAGACAATAAATCACCTCTAATAAAACAAAGGATGAACAGACTTTTGATGCCATACCAGGCAAAGCTATAACATGTTCCTAAGAAAAAAAAACTGGCATATCCTCCACCAGACAAGTTCCACAATGCACCTTTAAATAATGTTGTCAGTGTAGTAATTAAGTATTTATGTTTCCATTTTTGTCCCCATCGGAGAAAGGTCCCCATGGATTAAGTGTGCACATCTTTGTAGTCCCCACAGTGTGATCAATACAGTCGTACTAAACCTATAGGAGTCTCAGAAAAGAACGTGTCCGCCTCTTCTCCTTCATCTGCAGCTGATGAAGTCACGCTGGGAGAACTTTAGTCTGCTCTTTGATGCTTTGACACGACTGTGAATGCAAAGTAAGATTTCACATTGAGTTATCTAAGCTATTAAGAACCGCAGGCAGAGGCATCCTATATTCTCCCTATGTCTAGAGATACAAGACAGAAATTCAAAGTATTTCCTCAGTCTTTTTATCTTCTTATTTTAGATTCTTCCCTCTGGGGTTGCCTCCACAAATTCTGTATGTGCATTGAATTTCAAAGTATGTTATATATGTCGTAGA